AGGAATACTTGTGTCAAAGCCGTGTGAACTTTTTACCTTACCAGATGCTCTTGAAGAAGACTTCAAGGCGAGGAGCCGAACATCCAGTGGCAGGTAAAGTAAATCCAGCTCAAAACAATCCCACGTGAGAACACATGTTAAAATAAGGAAGATGAAAGTAATCTGATGTTGTCATTATCACTCCTGTAGGGGCTCCGTTAGACTGCGATCTCAGAGCAAATTGTCAACTGGAACATTATCGGACAGCATCCCGATGATTTCCGACAAACTGTTCTCAACAGAAAAAGTACTGAGGTTATCTTTCATGCTGTGTAGTATATTTTCTCCACGTCTAAGTATCGTGTGGAAATGAATAGCTCCAATGCGTATTGTTCAGCAGACATGTGAGGACGATGCAAAAGAAATTGTGGAGCCTGCTCCGGTCTCACGCATCCTCAAGTACAACCGACCAGAATGGCCCTACATGCTGCTGGGCTCGCTGGGGGCGGCTTTCAATGGCTGCATCAACCCCGTCTATGCCGTCCTGTTCAGCCAGATTCTTGGGGTGGGCTTGTGTATTTCACATGTTCTGCTTTACAAACTAATGTTTTTTTCTGAAGACCATATGACCATATGATCTTTGTACTTTCAGACATTTAGTATTAGTGACTTGAACGAACAGAGGAAGCAGATCAACGGGATATGCATTCTGTTTTGCATTGTGGCCGTGATCAGTTTTTTCGCCCAGTTTTTACAGGTTTGGATCACAATTTTGCAGAGTAATGCTCTAAATGGCATTTAGAGTGCATGTCTCCATTTAAATGTGATGGGACATATACACATTCACTCTGATTTAATGTTTAAGGGATATGCTTTTGCCAAGTCTGGAGAGCGGCTGACCCGCCGTCTAAGGAAAAAAGGCTTCCAGGCAATGTTGAGACAGGAGATTGGTTGGTTTGATGACCCCATAAACAGCCCTGGAGCTCTGACCACTAGACTGGCCACCGATGCATCCATGGTGCAGGGGGTAGGTCAACTATTTAAGTGGTCGTTTAACATTATTTATTACAGATGAGAAGTAAAAGGTTTGCTATTGCACAGTAATAACAACAATGTTTTGGGCGGAATTTCTTTTCAGGCAACAGGAACCCAGATTGGCATGATCGTGAATTCCTTGACCAGCATTGGAGCGTCTTTCATCATCGCCTTTTACTTCAGTTGGAAGTTAACTTTTGTCATTTTGTGTTTCCTGCCCCTCATCGGGCTGTGTGGTGTGTTCCAAGCTAAAATGCTGACAGGTTTTGCAAATGATGATAAAAAAGCCATGGAAGCAGCAGGTCGGGTAAGCTCCACAGAACATTGTAGGCCCATTGATGTACATTTCTCGGAGAAACAAAAGGCGTACGAAATCTCGATTTTTATCCCCGCAGGTATCCAGTGAGTCTCTTTTCAACATCAGGACGATTGCAGGCTTGGCCAAAGAGGGCTCATTTGTGGAATCATATCAGCAGAAACTTGTTCTTCCATATAAATCGGAGAGGAAGAGAGCAAACATCTATGGGCTTTGTTTCAGTTTTTCCCAGTGTGTCCTCTTCATGGCATACGCGGCTTCGTTTAGATATGGAGGCCATTTGGTTAGTTCTGAGGGGCTGCAGTACATGATGGTTTTCAGGTTGGTAAAGTTGTTTCTTTAAATGTTTTTTTTTTTTCAAACCCTACATTGAAAATAATTTCATGTGCGATTACTAAATATCCACCCAGTGCCTGTATGATTTTCCTCCAGAGTGATTACAGCTGTAGTCACAAGTGGGAGAGCCCTGGGCAGAGCTTCCTCCTTCACCCCCGATTACGCCAAAGCCAAAATTGCTGCTGCTCGGCTTTTCCGACTGTTGGACCGAGTTCCTAAAATAAGCCACACAGATGGAGAGAAATGGGTTGGTGAATATGTTGAATAAGACAGAATAACACTTAATGGGAGGTCGTTTTTGTCAATGATTGAGCCTAATTATCCATCTTCAGGACGACTTCAGAGGGGAGATAGAGTTTCTCAATTGCAACTTCACCTATCCAACTCGTCCAGATGCCCAGGTGCTTAACGGCCTGGTTGTGTCGGTGAAGCCTGGTCAGACTTTGGCGTTTGTCGGGAACAGCGGTTGTGGGAAGAGCACAAGTGTCCAACTCTTGGAAAGGTTCTACGACCCCACCGAAGGGAAAGTGGTATGTGGACTGACCCAGAGATTCGTCTCACTGATCGCAAAATGAGTTTAATCCAGTCATCACTGATGTCACTTTTTTTGTTTTCAGTTGATCGACGGTCGGCCGTCTCATAAAGTCAACGTGCCGTTCCTACGATCTCAGATTGGCATAGTGTCCCAGGAGCCGGTGTTGTTTGACTGCAGCGTAGCAGAGAACATTCAGTACGGAGATAACTCGTGCAGTGTCAGCATGGACGCGGTTGTTGAGGCTGCAAAGAAAGCCCACCTTCATGACTATGTGATGACCCTACCAGATGTAAGTGGAAACGCATTGTTCTTGGTTTGATGATGTGCTTCTTTACATGATTGTTACGCCTGGCTCAAGAAGGTGAGAATGCTGAGAGAATGGTGAGGTTTATGAGAATGTTTTTCAAACTACCAGAATGACCTTTAAATCTTCACTGATTCATTTGCATTTAGCACCTGTAGACTGAAGCCAACAGATCAGCCAGTGTCCTGCTCCCTTTACACGAAGGGCTCATTTGAAGGCTAAAAAAAACAATGATTATTTGTTTCAGTTTATTATACACTAACAAAAAATATTCCAATAGATGTCCATAAATCCTACACGCTGAAATAGTGCAGATTTACAGCATTTTTTACGTTGTGACCTTTTTCTTCCTCTCCTTCTCTCAATACATTGTAAGAAATATGAGACCCAGGTCGGCGCGCAGGGCTCCCAAATGTCAAGAGGACAAAAGCAACGCATCGCCATTGCCCGGGCCATCGTCAGGAACCCCAAGATCCTGCTACTTGATGAAGCTACCTCTGCCCTGGACACAGAGAGTGAACAGGTAACGCATTCCCAAACACCACCAAGGAACATTAACGTAAAGCGAGGTTCGCTACAACACCCTTGTTCTCTCTTCAGATCGTCCAGTCTGCTCTGGATGAGGCGAGAAAAGGACGGACCTGCATCACCATCGCTCACCGGCTGTCTACGATCCGGAATGCCGACATCATAGCGGTGATGTCCAATGGAGCCGTCATTGAGCAAGGCACTCATGGTAATCTCATGGCCAAGAGGGGGGCCTACTATGAACTGGTCAAAACAGGGGCTCCTATCAGCTAGAGCTATGATGAGCATATGACAAAATGCACAATAACACATCATAGTTCACATTTGTACCTCACCTTGTAAATAGCTTTGAAACAAAACTACTATTATTTCCGTCTCGACAATCAATGTATACTCTTCCTTTTCAGTATTTGTAAATATACTCAATCCTTACATTGTGTTTTGAATCCATCTAATTTGACTTTGTGAAGTGAAAAATTTAAACCCTAAAAAATAAATAAAGTTGTCAAATAATTGAAAAGAAATATTTTATCCTGCAAAACTTACGTCAAAGCCAAAAGACTCCGATGACGAACATCAAACACATTTCATTCAAACTCAATGTTTGACTTTCCACTGTTCCAACAATCAGCAATTTCTTCAACCTACCAGTTTGGTCTTGGTTTTTGTGTTTCTTGCCCAGTGGCGAATATTTAATCTTGTGCATTTCTTCAGGCAACTTCCGACATCATTCAGCCATAAATAATGTAAATAGATTTTGCCTTGGTACTGAGGAAAAAATGTCACATAAAAAATTAGGAGCCCGCCCTTTATGTACTCCAACATTAGTACGTTAAAGGTGTGTATGTGTACTTTTATTAGCTGCTGTGGTTTTGTATTTGATACTCCTTTGATGTAATTGTGTCTCTGCAGCCCTTTTTTACCTTTCAAATCTTTTTTTAGTATTTCTTTTTTTGGACTGTTTCACTATTCTACCCAGTGAATTCATTGAAAAATAATATACTAAAAGCAGGTAGGTGCTTTTTATTTTGGAAAAGATTCAAAGAAATGAACAAATTGACTATATAAACAGTCAAGTGTTATACTTTAATCTCTACAAATATTAAACCATGCGACTACTAATGATATTCATAATGAATGTTTCTACAAACCAAGAGATGAGAAACATTTCTTATCTGCCATAAATTTGCTAATTGAAAAAGCCTTGCTAATTTGTTCGTGTAGCTTCAGTCTGTTTGACCGACACAAAACACTCATCTGAATGATCAGCAGAAACGACCCCAGGAGACAAAATCTGCATGGATGAAAAATATTCACACATGACCAGTATTGAAGAAAGGACTGATATAATGTAATGATGTAAAATAACCATCCACCTTTGAAACCCTGCACAAGAGCAACAGCGAAGGAAATCCTGGTTAAGTTGAAAGCCGGAGGTGATCCTCACTGAACAACAGTGCTAGAAATAATGAAAAAATGCACTGCATACATGCTAATCTGGCCTTGTTTCCAAATTGACGGGAAATTGCTATTATTGCTAACATGTGAATGTGGTCGACGTGACTTTCTTGCACACACCAATAAGTTTCCTGCTAAAACACAATATAGGTATCAGATTCAAATCTATAATTACACAAAATGCTCTAAAATTGACCATGTCAATTGGTGTCTGTCATCAGATAACGGCTGCTTCATGAAGTTAGGGTAGATGGATTTGGGTTTATGTTTAATAGCACTTTTCATGATTACAATACCATCATTGATTTAAGTTGGTGCATACAAACCAATGTAAGCGTATACTTTGATACACACCTAATTTCTTATAACAATTATTTTATTTTTAATTCATATAATGTTATTTTTGTAAGAGGAGGGTGTAGTTTTAAAACAGTATCACTAGATGGCGCAAATGATATTGTTTAAGCCAACGGCCATTAAAAATACTAAAGAAGAAGAATAGATGTGTGTATTTCCGGTGTTTGAGCCCCGCCTTCTATGTGTCGACCGCGAATATTTGAAAAAATAGTTAACGTTACTGGTCCAGTGGTGAGACGTTAACTTAAAAAAAGATCAACGGCAATTCAAAACGTGAGTAGCGCAAAGTTATCCATATCTACATTTACAAAACTGTTATCTCACGCTACGTAAATCTTTGAGTCAAACGGCTTCATTTCCTTCATGGCTAACAAAAAGTAACAGGGCAAGCTAAGGCTAACGTTAGCCACTAAGGTTTACCGGCGCTTTGAGTTAAACTGCTAACGTGTTCCGTTGCGTTGAGCTGATTTGGGTATTCGATCGTTACTTAACGTTACGTAATGTTAAAAGAGTATTCTTATCGTTTCTGAGCAATGTCCTTCGGTGAGCTAGCTTTAGCCCCCGTTTGAATACGAGTTAGCCACTCCTGTGAGTTAACGGGGCTCGTCGTTAGCGCTACGCGCCGTTTTATAGTTCGTTATTTGTAAGACTGACAGCCCCAGCAGATGGAAGGAGGCTTTGGGGAAGTTTAACAAACCAAACCAATCTTCAGGTTTCAATTATAGAACATTACCCAAGCTGTCAACATGTGTCAGTCAAGGAGACCGATTACTTGCCGTTGTTTTTCGTTGCTGCAATGTTATTCTTTTATTTTCAATTCACTTTCTGGTGAATCCAATCAACCATAAAGCCATGCAAATATGTTAATGTTTGCATGATAGGGTGGGGAGTGCTTGTTTGTCCGATACATTTTGGTTCCAATGTTTAACTCCAATGATTTCATTGGTACCTTACCCGTAACACAATATTATTTACAAGTGTGCTGCACAGCATATTCTTAGCTTATATTCTAGCTTGAGCATTAGTTTTAATATTCATTTTACATGCCCATTATTAACATTGTGCTATCTGTGGTTTTATTGCAGATTGCAAAAATGACGTCCATTACCGATCCAACTTTGAGTGATGGGTTCACCAGTGCTATGGAGGAGACTCACAATAAACAGCTTAAAACATACGAGGAGATCATTGACATGACTGCAGAGTTGTGCCAAGCCCACACGCATTCAGTGAAGTCTGCGCTTGGTATGTTTGAGACATTGTTTATTGGGCTTCATTTGGTTAATGCCTTCTTCCCTCGGGTCTATATTCAATTTGAATATAGGCAGTAATGTTTGTACTTCATACGGTACACTATATAGTTACAACAACAGTATGTCTTTCCTTTTACACAGATACATGTTTAAAGAAATGTAAGGATGATGTGATGCTGTTTGAGACAATACAAACATTCAAAACCGGTGAGTTGATGAATTGTATCTGTGAATGTTTCTCATGAGCATTAAATCTGTTTTCATGTGCGAAATAATTCCTCATTACCTGACGAACATTAGCATCCCATACTTGTTTTCAACGACAAGTTGCAATGCAGTTTTGGAGGCTTCATTGTTTATGTTAAAGTGTATTTTTACTTATGCAATGTTTGTCCACCAGACTTGTTACAGAAAAATTCGTCATTGAAAGAGAAACGGCATGCTATTTCTGAAATGATGTCTGAGATTCAGCAGAAGGAGATGCAAAAAGACGCCATCATCCAGAAGATGGAGAAACTTGGAGAAGACCAAGCTAAAAGAAAAGAGTGTATGTTATAGTTCAAAATGACGTGAATGGTGTAAATCACAGAAACTAGTTTTGTGACTAACAAGTTGCTTTAGTAAACAAGCTTTTTTCTTCTTTCTTGGCAGTAATAGAGTCTCAAAACAAAGCAAACAAAAACCGACTGAAGAATCTCCAGAAAGCCAGAGTTGTCTTTCAAGATCATTTAGGGATGGAGATACGAACAATCCAAGGCAAAACACAATTGTCTAAAGGTATGTTGAACAGGCAAACGTATTCAGTATCTTTTAGTTTAGTTTCTTTCATTGTTTTTTTTCTTCCTAAATATTTAAATAAATGAATTCATGTCAATAATACACAGCCGTATTCATAGTCTCCGGTAAAGCTTTCATTCTCTTCAATTGAAGTAGCAATGAAATCAGAATATGTCTCTGTTGTGCTTGTAAAGGTGAAAAGCTGCAGTTTGTTTTCCGGAATATCAACCCCTCCGATCAGGACAGTGCCTACGTGGTCACAATGGGGATTAAAGAAGATGGATCCTACCAGAGTAAGTTACAGACACGCACACACTGTATCAGGAAACTTGACTTTCATTGATTCCTGTGAACACAACCACTGCATTTTATTTAGATTCATTCCCATATACGCTGCCTTAAATTACGAGTTTGTGGTCCATAACAAATGCTGTATGTTCTTCTGTTTTAATAAGAATTGTTTCAAACTACGTTACCCAGATGTTTTGGGAAATTATTTAGAAATACAATACATATACTAAATATTTATGCTTTTATTCTGACTGAATCATGGCAGTGCCACTGACAAAAGCAATGGAAAAATGTTTAGAGGGACTCCTTCACCGTTTTTGTATGGACATAAATGACAATATGGAATATTCCCAACTTTATCCTGAAGGAACCATTGTTGATTGCTTTTATAAAGAAGTTTTTAATTTCCACAGTTGTGTCCAGTGACCCCGCGCTCGAGTGTTTGCCAGTCTTGGAAAGTCGGCTTCAGGAGACCAATAACTTAGCAGCATTCCTGGCAAACGTCAGAAAGGAGTTTATCTCCCAGATTCGATCCTAAAATTGAAATACGGGGAGGATAAAATGCCGAGCAAGGACTTTCTTACAGCAACGGCGAGATCGCTAAAGTGAATAACAGGAAATGTTTAAAAGAATGAATAAATTAAGTTAATGCATAAACGCCGTTGTTTTATTTGTATTAATCAATTCATTCAGTTAACATTTTTCATTTATTTTCTCATGTCATTACTTGGTTTAAAGTGGGTCTGGATAAGTGTACAGTTTTATTTTTCTGGGCTTTGTATTTACATTTGTAATCATATTCTGTTAAAATACATATTAACCCCTTACAATTTTGTGTATATATATATAATTTTGTGCGTGTAACTCCATGCTTTTGTTTTTATTATTAATATTTTAAATATCAGTCAGTACAAGTAGAATTTGTATTTGTCTGTTTTCATCACGTGTGGCTCTTGAACATGATTTAGTGTGTCTTCTGCAACTCTGCTAAGTCCGTGACATCAGTCAGGCATCCGATGATTCCACGCTGCTCAACGCCGGCAGCTCCTCCACATAGGTGGAAGGAAAATAGCCTTTCTTCTTGAGAAGTTCGCCAAACCACCAACCGTTCTCCTCTTTTCTGTAAATGTCAAGGACATCTCCTGTGAAAGAAATCCAGTAGTTTTATCCGCTTGTTAATAAAGCGCTACCGCTTTAGGTCATCTGCTCGTGAGGGGCCACTCACCTTCTTTCAAAGTCAGCTCATCGTCCCCCTCCGGCGTGAAGTCGTACACGGCTCTGCATGTCCCCACGCTGCACGGCTCCAGCGCCATTTCAGCTGTTCAATGTTGATGGTTTTCATTGCTTTAATTTCATGTTGAAATTTCAAACGTGCTGAATTGAAAATAAATCTTAAAGCCAGAAACGTATTACCTTGTTCTTTGCCGTCATCTGTGCGCGGCGGGTGTCCGTTAACGGCACTCCCACACTCCACACCCGCCGTCTCGTGCGCTGAAACTGGCGACGGGCCTCTGTCGTCCGCGCTCGGTAAAGCGTCCACGGACTTGAGCCGCGTCCCAAACTCGACGGGCCCTTTGTAGATGATGGACGCTCGCAGGGACTGTCGGGATCTGAACGGCGTCCTCCTGAGCTTGACCGGACGAGTCAGTTGAACGACGCTGTGCTCGCAGTCCTGAGACGGAAGCACAGTTTGTGTCACGTGAGATGCAATGACAGGGATGCGTTTAGTGGTTTGAAACACTTTTAGGAGGTCCGGAGGTCATTTGACTGAAAGGATCGAGGTGCAGTCTTATATCAAGTCACCCACAAGGCTTGTTTATGTATTCAGTCTTGCATGATCACATGTATGAAAGGCCATGTCACAATTAGCAACGATCTTTCACGCAATCCTTTTGTCCCTTGAGGACCTGCCTCGTATGGAGATATAATTCTAGTGACATAACGGTTCCCATTTTCCAGTGACGATTATTTTAAGGAAAACGTCCATAATATTCTATTCCATTGCAATAGATCTCCTTAAATTTGGCCCGCTGTTGAACCTAAGCTACCCTCGATGCAGGACATACCTGTTGAAAATGATGAATAATCTTACCTTATCTTTCCATTTCACAATGCTTTCACTAAAACGGTGATGGGCCTTGGGTTGCCCCTCCAACTCAGACAGTGATACAGAGAGTTTGCAGAGTGTGGCTTCAAGGAGATCCAGTTTTAGGGTCGTCTACAGGTGACAGACGATCTGATTTATGATCAATTTAAATGAAATATCCATCTGCACACACACACACCTCACATCCCTCTAGTCTGAACACCTCTTACCTCGTCAATCTGCAGTTCAGTCTCCTCAAGGTTCTTTTGGTTTGAAAAACATGGATTCTCAGAATATGTTCTCATCAGTTTTTCAATTCCTGCGACAATAATGTTGAAGGTAACACAATGAATGAGCTCGCCTGCCACTGAGCTTTACTGAAACACATTTCTTCCCACCTCCATCCGATTATATTGGGCCCTTTTAATGGACGCTGTTCTACTCGCCTTCTCGGTCTTTCTTTGTTTTGGTAATCGTGTCCTCCAGGCGCTGAACTTTGAGTTTTATGGCCTCTTTTCTTCGGTCTTTGGCCATCAGGGATTTGCTGTCCTCCTCCTGTTGCATTCAGAACACAGATCCTGCATCAGTGACTGCGATGGTCCAAGTCTAACATGAAGCCATGGCTACATGTGAACATGCCACTGGCACCCGTTAGGACAGGGCTATTATCGCATGTTTAAGTGAAACCCGAGAACAAAATGACAACTACATAATATAATTCATAACACAATAAAATACTAGCTCTTTCATAAAATTAGTACGGCATCTTTATTTCTGTGGCGTCACAAACTGGGACCCAAAATGTCCCCCCTTCCACACCGAGCTAAACATTTCAGACTTACAAAATAATCAGCCATCAAAAACTCCGCTTTGTGGTCTTCAGCCGTGATGCTGTTTTCCTTCACCAGGGTTTGGATGTCCGTCTCCATGTCCACCCTCTGGACGGTCTCTTCTATCTGCCGTTGGCCCTGGAAGTGGCAGGTGAAGGTTACGACATCCATCGACGGCTTTGTGACTGTTGAGCAGGATGCAGGTCAGCGTGTCTTACATGTTTGATGATCTGCCCAAAGCTGGACATGTGGAGGTTGTATCTACTCAACATGCTGCAGAGGACTTCTATTCGCTGTTTCTCCAACTCCTGAATGATCTGAAAAAAGCAGAAGTAGCACCGAGATGCTTTGTGTGCAGCAAACTCAATCTGGATGATTAGCATTTAGATTTATGTTAGTTTTTTTGTAAAAAGACAACCTGGAACTAAGGAAAACCTGATCGTAGAGACTGCAAAGGTTGCGCGCTTGCTGATGAAATGTGTGCATCTCAGAGAAAAAAACGCATGAAATTAGCTGCAGAAATGCCTGGGTGGACAAAGATGACTGGGTGCTGCGTCACCGAGCGAGACCCTGAACTCACAAAAAGGCCCCCTGCATTAGGAGAACATCTAAATGCCGCGGTGTGAGTGTACATTTTTTCCCCGCACCTGGTAGCAGTTTTTCAGCGTGTTTTCCCACTTGAGTCTCATCTGATGACCCTCCATGTTGACATTGAAGTACTCCTCATCCACCCGCGCCTGCATCTCCGCTGACTTAGTCAGCCTGTTCAGCATCTGTAGTCAAGAGGAGGACAAATATTTAACACACTTCCTCGCAGACTTTAATAGATAGATACAAATGTGTAGTTGTATACCAAACCTTTTGTTTCTCCTTTTCTGTGCACATTTGCCTGTTGGTCTCAACAAAGTTGAACAAAGCCTCGTGCTCTTTTGTTAATCCGAGCAATTTCTTTTTCATCTGTTTGAGACGACAACACGAGAACCTACATTAACGTACCAGTGGCATATCAAAAACCATACAGGGAAACTCTAAATTCCATTACGTTCAGGACAGTGCAACAGATTGCTGCTAGAGTTAAAGTTGAGGTGCTGTATCTACGGTTTCACTTTATGTTGCATTACACAACAGTCGACTGTCACGCAAATCTTAAGAATGAATCATTGACACATCAGCACGAGGACAACACACTTTCAGCTGATTCATACGTTTGTTCTTTACCTTAAGCTGTTCACTCCAATTGGCCGTGACCAGTTTTCCAGTTCTTTCAATGGCGTTGTCAAGCTGTTGAAGCAGAGAAAAGGTCAGACACACTGTGTCTGTAAGCTTCCTTAAAGAAATATACTGACACAAAGATGAAGAAATGACTCCTTACAGGCCTCTTCCTCTTATTATGCTCGTCTAACACCTGTCGTATTTCCAGGATTGCTTCTTGCTGAAATGCATTTCCCAACGATCTGAAATGAGAACGAAACACCACGTTGACCTCCGAGGTCTTTCTCCTGTTATGTGGACAGGCGCAGCCATGAGGTGAACTCTGGAGGACGGCTACCTGTGGGCATCCGCTCTCGAGTACATCTCATCCGACACATGACACCAGGCGCCGTAGGTGGAACTGAGTAGGGAGGCAGCGTGAAAAGGTTAGAGCTGTTGGCTCAGCAGCCTGTGTTTTGAACACAGCACGTAACCGGCTAGGCGCGTATCACTTCCCATTATGCTATTATTTCTGTACACTTGGCAGGAAGAGGTCACGTTCAACACAAAACAGTCAGCGCTGCATCGCTCTTACTTATTTGACATTCCTTTGGAGGCCCTGATAAGTTTCCCAGCAAGCTTTTGTAGTCCTTTGGCATAAGTAAGTTCCATCTCAGCCCTAAAACAGGAAGTCAAACTGAGTCAAACAGTAACCCCTCCGTCAGTAAAAGTTAGTCTGCGCTGAACCAACCTTTGCTGAAAAACGGTCATAAGTTCTTTGCAGAAGTACTCGCCGGTCTTGGAAAATTGTTTCACATTTTGATAGAGTCGGTTGTACTGAAAGACAAGAGAATAAAGCTCCATGAAGCCGCTACGGCCTAAATCCACCGAGCGCAAACCCACAAAGTCAGTGGTAAATCAAATGCACATTTGAGGATTACATTTTAGCCGAGGGCCTTATAGAAGTATTGTGGAAAACAAGAAAAAGTGGCTTTTTCAAAGAAATACTCACAGAGCAGGTGCCGATAGGATCCTTCATCTTAAGAATGTGGCTGTTTGTTGACTTTGTACCTGGAACTTTGACCACCCTCCCCCCAAAGTCACTCATGCGGAAATCACCGGAGCCTTTTGTCAGCGGCAAATACAATGGAAAATCCCAGTGAGGGGGAAAAAAAAGAAACGACAAATGTAAACTTAAACAGGTTGGTCTGCTGCAGATACAAATAAAGGAAATACAAATACGATAAAGCAAATTCACGCTCGACTGCCAAATTAATAAGCTTTGCTTCAATATTCAATGTTGACAGGAATAGGCTTTGCATGTAGGTAAAAGGCTTCCTAGTGTCCCATTAAACCGTGGAAGTGATCATACTATTCAAACCTCAAGTTTTTTTCTATGAAAATCAAAATCAATACATTGTACATTATACAATTAGAATTCAAAGCCAGGGTTTGATGAATATTTTTGCTTTGCTGTTGAAGTCTTTTATTGAACAGTCTCTCACACACACACACACACACACTTGTAATTGTCAGTTTTTTTTATTGAATAACTCAAAGAACTCATGTCCGCCTCCGGAGAGGACCAATGGCCTTTAATGCAATGCTTACTGGAAATGTATCAGAATACTTAACAAAATGATGTAATATGGAATATATTCAGCCATATTTGATGCACATACATAACACTGTTATTGACATCTTATACAGCTTGAGTGGAGAATGGGTTTTAAAATGTGAGTAAACGTCACACATTTTGGCATATCTTTGGGGGTGTAGCATTAAAAATAAACCCAGGTCTTCAGTATTGTGCAAATACTTGTCCAGATGGGCGGTGTCAAATAATTTAAAAAATAATAATTCCCTCAACACCGGCATCAATGCAAAAAAAGATGTCCAACAATCTCCAAACGTATTCATAAAAGAATAAATAACATAGAAGGACGTAAACATAAGAAAAAACTCACCCCCAGTATGCCAGACTACTGTATGTTAAAGTAGCATGCGTACACCATCAAGTGGAATGCTCCCATTTGTGGGTTGAACGGAGTGGGTTGTACCAGTAGAAGTGCTCTGATGTTTAACTAAGTGCAGTTCCATGTAAGTATATAGAGGAAGTGAATAAATTGTGCACGGAAATTAGGAAAGAATCAAATTATAAGAAAACTGCGTTCACATTAGTCTGTAAAGAATTCCAGTACCAGACAGGCGATGTGCATGTCTCTACGACACACACACACACACTCACTTAAGCGCACACACACAAGTGCACACCCACACAGTCTGACGTGTGGTGTCTGTGGCATGGCCCCTGTGTTAGTCAGTGTTCGTCGGGATACGGGGCCCCCGTCAGGTAGCCGTTGGTCCCGTGACTTTTGTTGGTGCCGTTGGTGGTGGTGCTGCTGTGGTGCTTGTGATTGGTCGGGGGACTGTCGTCCTCATCAGAGCCAGATTCAATGTCGCTGCGGTCATCTTTTGACACCTGCATTGAGAGGGATGGTTGGAGATGACATTTTTCCCATTAACTCTCCTCCGGGTCATTATCCGTGGCAGCCATGCGTGGCGGTGACACTAGTGGGCTTTTGTTTGACAAAAGCGGGAGCTGCTCTGCCAATCATTATCAGAAAACAGGTTGAAAAAGCGCTACAATCTTTTTGCAGAGAACTCTGACATTATTTGGGCTGCAGCTAATAACTATTTTCATTATAGATTCATATTGTTTTCTGATTGATTTGTTCATAATTTGTTTGGAAAATGCATATAGCAATTTCACAGAAGCTGCCCTTGTTTTGTCCGACTAAAAGTCCAAAACCTATAGATATTCTATTTGCAATGATATAAAACCGAGTGCAGCCTAAAAACCTCCTATTTGACAACCATGTGAATGTTTTTGGCGGATTGTTGATGAATTAATCACCAAAAATTTTTGGGGTCGATCAACTATTTATATTTGTATTGACATATAATTAAACATACCAAACGTAGATTTATAAAAATACTAATATTGCCATACAATGGGTTTTCCTGCATAGCTAAAAATGGATTGATTAGGTTAAGGTGGATTGACAACCAGGATCATCATTATGAATACAAATGATGAAATGGCTAAAACAATTAGAAATAGTCCCCCTTAAGGCTACTTACATGCAACGGATTCCATTTTCCCACCTTGAAGGATGGAGGTGAGCACATAGAGAACAAAAAAGTAAAGGTCAAAAGTGGGTATTGACGACACTCCCCAGTGTGTATGTGTGTGTATATATATATATATATATATATATATATATATATATATTATGCTTAGTGTGGTGACTCACCTTCCCTTTGGAGATGGCTCGGCACGCCGTCTTCACTATGAGGTAGGACCAGAAGGAGTGAAGAAGCTGCAGCAGGATCAGAAGAAGGTTGAAGACCCACCAGGACGGGTAGGGCCCCACGATCTCCCAACTCTCGAAGAAGGTGGTATTTAATATCCTTCCATAAAACAGGGAGCAGTAGATAAGTAACGTCTCATTTGTTATTATAAAAAATAAACACAATGAGTAAGAGCACGCTGTCATTTGTAGCGGGGTTCTTTTATGTCCCGAGTAACCGACCGAGCCAGAGAAAAGCAAACAAGGCGCGCTGTGCTCCAGCTCTTCTTCTTTCACAGGACGTTTTCCCTATAATGATGTACTATATTTCTGGCACAAACAAATGTGTGTTAAGATTTACACCTTAATGCAATTAAAATAAATTGCAGGAGAAGAAGCAAATTGCTTCACATTTAATATATAATGCAGAGAAAATTCCTGCAAATGGCTGTCTGTGAATCATCCTCCAGATCCCGAAGCCATGGCAACAGCTTTACAGTAATGACAACTTTACTACTGATGTGGTGGGAGTTGACTGAAATGTGATGCAAGATCATTATATTACAGTGAAAGAAAGCTAGAGTTAAAAAAGCCATCAAATGAAGCTGCACAGACCGACGTTCACAAATGCCTTCTTTCAGAATAGAAGACAACAAATCTACATTTAGATCTCGGAGTAGATTTTCTTTGCTGACCAAATACCAATGACCACACGACTGCAGCGGCCTGGCTCGAACTACATCACACCTCCCTTTGCTTGTGAGAGGTGTGATAATCGTGCTGCTGCTCAGTGAGAGACTTCCGCACGCGCTGGCAAGGACTAAAACGTATTTGTGGTAACTTGGGGTAAAAATCTTCAGGAAGGATTCTTCTTATTGGCTACAACTTGAAATGCTGATAAGAAGCAATACAGAAACCCATGACAATGAGGATTGTTATGGGTAAAAAAAAATGTAAAAGCCTTTTGAGGTTTTACCAAATCAGATCAAACGCTACCCTCGGTTTTCAATGACAAAGCAGTAATCATGACATACTGCTTTTCATTTGTTGATTTGTTTAGCTTTGAAAGGTCAAAGCTGCTGTATCCAGGGTAACTATTACTTAGCAACAGAATTCCCAGAGATGTGTCTGAACTACAAATCGTTGTGATGAAAGTGACAAAAATAGATTTGAAATCTTCTTGGCATTTGCTCGCATTTTCCGGCATGAAATGTGCAGAGGCCTCTGCTGCTTTGAGGTTTTTAAGTCCATGGCTGTCTACTTTGTTGGAATGCCAACGCCACTCCAGGTCAGTCAGCCTTTAGAAGGATGCCAATTATGGTTTACATGAAAGAAAAGAACACTTACCAGACAGGATAAACTCCCAGCCTGGAACTTACGAAGAGAATTGCAAACATTGCAAACAGGAGGTTGCACAATTTTTGACATTTGGCATAGTTGGCCATCTTGGCAGCCTTGATAGGAAAAAGGAAACAATCATTAGTCTGCTTATGATAACAGCTACTTGAAATATCTCCGTTGATAAAAGTATATTCAACATGCAATGTGTCTACGATACCATCTGACACTTAAAAAAAAGAATACAAGCCAGTTATGAAGTTTAGATAAAGATGGAAAGCTGAGCAGGTAAACACCTCCCCAACACGCACAACGCAAGTGTTCGATCTTCTCACTCATCCTCACCTCTATCAGCACGTCTGCTGCGTCGTGGAGACACATGACCAGAGTTCCCACTCGTGCCATGTTGTTCACATAGGAAAAGGTGATGAGAGAGATTGTTGCAGCGTGGTGCAGGAACATGATCAGGAAGTCCTGGGAACACAGTTGCAGAGGAAAGGTCACACAACAAGGCAAAATACTGCCTCACGGCTGTATGATTAACTGCACGAGCAATAGCATCACTACTTTGTGTAATAAGTCTGTATTTAAAAAAAAGCCCCTTCTGAGAACTAAATACTTGGAACCCAATGGTAGCTATTTTCAAAACTGTCATTATTCATTAAATTGAAATAGTCTTTGCTCAAGTTGGCTGCAAAACGTAAAGTCATGACAAGTCAATCATTAATCATAACATACTCAAGCAAACGTAGCAAGTCTGCCTTCAGAGTGCGAGCCTTAATGCACTTTGATGCAACGGTGTGGTTGAAATACACGTTCAATACGGAATATATTTGTTTTGGTTTCAATTGTGTCACAATGCAACACATCCCTTTTTAAAACATGCTTGAAAGAAGTAGTTGGGGAGATTTAAACTCCTTTACTTGACATACTCTATTTGATGCATTGGAAACATCACATTAGGTAAAAGATAATAAAGGAATTACTTAATTAATCCTCATAGGTAAATTCAATTATCCACAGGTCCCATGGACATGCAGTTGGAGGGTTGGTGATGGAGACAACCACCCAAAGCAGTTGTTTACCATGGGAGCTAAATCTTTTAATGGCACCGTTGAGTAGTTTAATCTACGACAATACCTCTTATTAAAAGCGTACATGTTTTGTATCTGATGTAAATGTAAGTTAATTTATCTGTCGTCAAAGTGTATAGTGGCATGAAATACTAAAGTGAAGTACTGCCTGGCAGTACATGTAACATTCCACCATGTCTGAAAAAGAGGACGTCTGTGAAATCTAAATCAGGAAGGAAGAAAGATCTCAGGTCAACACAATCTAAAACGACTACTATACTGTAGCTGAAATGATTGGGTAGCTTTGAATGAGCATCAGGGGGACTAAAAGTGCACTCAAGTGGCACAGGGAAACATTTCAAGCAAATCTGAGGAAATGACTCGGCTTAAAGCGACCAGAACCAGGCCCGAAGGGAGACAATGAAGATGAGAAGGAAGAGCAACAATGTAGGATACAGAATGAAAGCAAGGCAAGAGTGTGCAGGAGAACATACTGGAATTGGCAGGGGATGCAGAGGACCTCCTCAGTGCAGTACTGTGCATGAAAAAACTGAAAGGAGAAACAAAAACAGACAACATGCCCACAGTCAACAACGAGATGACAGAGTGAAGCCACACACAGCATGGAACCACGGGAGCGGCTGTGAGTGCAGTGTTTGAGAGGAGGGCGGGTGATGGAAGTGAGATCATGGCTAGATAGCATGCAAACGACAATAAATGAACCAAATGGGCACCCATTTTCATAACGAAAAGAAGCAGATGAAAGTGAGTTGATCTCAGTGCTTAAAAAAAGCATTCGTCACCAAGTTGGACCCTCTAAACTGTATTTATAGTACAATGTGCACTATGTGTACTCAATATAAGCGTATTCCCTGGTTTGAAATTATGAGCTGAAAGAGAATGTCACCTGCAGCAGCTTGGTGGAAGTGCGTTTGAATGGTCATTACATTACATGAAAGACCGCAGTGCTAATGTGTTGTCCCTGCAAAGTTTTTGTATTACACACATCAGTGAGAATACACCGAGGCAGAAAGGATCACAAGCAAATAGACTAAATATCTCAGAGTAATGGCAGTAAGAAAATAAATGGATTGTGAGTCAGGTAGAATGTATTTTCTGTGATAGAACTTAGTTGATTACAGAACGGGAAGCTCTGTTTTCAACAGAATAAAGTGATAAAAAGTGTCAATTGTTGCCATAGAGAGAATCTATTAAAAAAAGATTCAATGACCAATGTTATAAGTCTTGGTGGGACTTGTAGTCACGCTTACCTTCCTCCTGATGTCTGTGAATTGAGAAAAGAGTAATGACAGGTAGAAAGACAGCTCCAGTATATAGTAGTAATGGACGTCCACAGTCAGCGGCTGCACAAACACAAAAAGCAAAATGGTTCGAGTAAGTATTTCAGAAAGAAGGTTGTTGTGGTTATGCAAGTCAACTTGTTATGTGATTACTGACAGTGGGTGCATTGAGATACTTTTACCTGGTATGGGTAGTTGTACCAGCACTCTTTAGTGTTCCAAAGCCATGTAGTCTGCAGAAAAGGAAGTTATTAAGTTTATCAATCTAGAGAAAAAAAAAAAGACACTACCATACTTTACTTTCAACACGCAGCGTCTCTAAAAAAGGCACCGAGGATCCATTCTTAATGTACGTAACAAACTGTCAACAGGTAACTATAGTAAACAACGGCCATTATCTGGCTAGCAATTTAAGTAAGATTACCCCAACCATTGGAAATGAAAAAGACTTTCATTTTTGTGTAAAACGGATTAGATATTTAACGGCAACATTATTTAGCATGGGTAATATTTTCTTTTCAGCTACTTGCCCTTTCCTTGTAAAATCCATTATTAATGAACGGTGTTTGCGCTAAGCTTCATTGCAAATAGTCCTCTTCTCTACATCCTGTCTTTGGAGGCTGGAGGGGGAGCTGGAGTCCATCCCAGCTGGCATCAGCCTCCATTCACACACCTACGGGAGGCACCAATTAACCTTCCTGCATGTCTTTGGAGTGTGGGAGGAAGCCGCAGTACCCGGAAAGAACCCACACAGGTTCTTGCAAACTCCACACCGAAAGGCCGTCGGCCGCGCCGCCCTTTTAATACGAATAGCCTTTTCAGAATTAGTCCCTTGCCTCAGAATATCAATTTTACTTGACGGTCTTATGACCAGGCACTAACTAGATTTTCATGCTTGCCGTGTACTTCCAAATGTGCGGTAGGAAATGTGTTCCAACCTCAGTGACTCGTGCTAACTTTAACAGTGGCTGGTGCCCATTTTGTTGCGAAGGAAAACGTACCTTTTTAAGGAAACGCACTCCATAGGTAAATATGTATAGATAGAACGTAAATCTCCACCTGAAAGACACAAAGAAAGAAAGTAATGATTATAAAGCTCAAAATTACACATTTTGTTTTGGGGCATGATGGCAGTGTTTTTTAGTTGGCAAGGAATCCTACCGATCAGCTGAGCAGTACGTTCACAATTACCTTTATTACGTGGTCTTCTTTCTATGGTATAAATACAAACAATACCAGGAGAAGTGTATGTATATATATATATATATATATATATATATATATATATATATATATATATATACATATATACATATATACACACACACACACACACACACACACACACACACACACACACACACGCCATGTAGTTTTTTGTCGCGCACTGTGTGGTTTTCCTGCCTGTAATCAGACATTTGAAGCGGTGTGAGCCGCTTTCACCACCCTGCATCCGCGGTCAGGGGGAGAGTCACTTCAAATGGGACATCACCGACTTCACATTTTTGAGGTCTGGGGGCGATGACGAGACACCCAGAGTCCCAGCGCATCTAGACATGGTCTTTGTTTCATATAGAACCTGCACATGAGTTACACAACGGTAGTGAAAGTGAGGTCTGAACTAAAAAGGCAGAGAACAAATTGCCTAACCTGACACCTCACTGATCATAGCGTTGCACAGCAGGGAGACGTGCAACTTAAAACCGTCAGCAACTGGGAGAAAAAGGATGCAAGACTGGCCAGCTAGCAGGCCACCTCTCTTAGTTGAATCAGATAAAACTACATATATGTGTTCTATATGAATCTGTTGTAACTGATTACATTCAAATAGCCCCCCCCGATCCCAGTGGAGCATTTCCAGAATAAATACATTCATCTTCTGAATTCAGTGCAATGACTTGATGAAGTAAAACATGCAGGAGAAGCACAAATCCAGCGTGCCTTCTGTCAAATGGGAGGAAACATCGGATGATGACTCTCCCGGCTCTGATAGAAGCCGCGTGACCTCGTGTCGGACGAGCCTTTGCATACTTCAGGGGTTCTGTCGTGCTGTTGTTTTATCCGACCTCACATGTTTTGACATCCACAGCCTCCAGACACAACAAAGCACGAGCACTCCAAACCAAAACGGCACATTCCAGCTCCTCGGTGCAGGCGCATCCGTCAGTTTGATGATCAGTGTAGCTCTTGGATTTACGCAAGAGGAAAATCAAGCATGTTAACGAAGAGGCCCATTAAAACCGCCGCCAGTAACTGCTTTTCATACTTGATCATGGGAACTGTAAGAAACAAGGTAATTGTACAAGTCTACCTGGCACACACACTTAAGACTGTTGCATGGCAACTGGTTCATCAAGCCTGCGATCTTGCTGGAGTCCGGTTGAATCGCTGCTATATTTGTACAATCACAATGTTCACTACTGCCTCCAGAGAATAGATTTAATTTTTAGCCAAGGCCAGGCTCCAATGTCTTTTTTTAGTATTGTGAATTATGTTTACTTTCCAGATACAGATTCCAGATCTAGATGTAGACTGGCTGTAGGGACATCCAAATATTCTGCATTTAATTTGATCAAAAACTATAAAATGAGACTGGCTTATTTTCTGAATGTACTAAAATAATAAAAAGGAGATCACGCTGGTTCCTTTGATTCCATGTCACCTTGGGGGGATGGGGGGGGGGTGTCTAAGCACCAGCTGGCTGCAACGGTTTGTATTTGGATGGTTCAACAAAACAATTAGTCATGACGCACAAGCTTTGATCCAAATTCTAATTGGGTAAAAGCTATGATGTGTTCGGTCGTCTTTGCTGTTAAATGAGCAGTAACACCTCCTCCACCCCTCACGCAGTAATAGACGTCCCTTCCACCTTTGTGTATTTGTCTCATTTGCTTTGATGACAAGGAGTGATGATAAATTGCGGAAATTAAAAAGTGTGTGGGCAGTTATTTCAATGTGGTACGAGGAGTTTGCATCTAATTTGACGAAAAACATGGGTGTGGCTTTCCTCTCCCAAGAACACACGTTAATGTCTCGTCTCGCTGCATCTGCTGAGCACGAACAAAAACTAATTACTTGTTGGCTTGGAGTCCACTGAGCTGCTTCTGGGAAGGTGTTCATTTAAAGTAATGAAAATCATATACACCAACGCATTGATAACAGGAAGAGCAGCGATGAGGTTATTAGTATCTCAGCTGATACGAATAGCATGTTCCGGTTTTTGAGAAACAACCGGGTACCTTCATTCTCTGTTTGATGATAACCAGAGGAATGGAAAATTAGGAGATTAGGAGCAGTAATAAGACAATACTTGTCAAGACAGTGTTACATTTTGTCTTCTACATTTTATAAGACAGTAGGCATAGCAGTTACCACCCACCCCCAAAACAACAAAAAAGGAATATAAGCTTGAAATTTGGGGAAAGTTAAATGCAGCGACCGACCATTCTCTCGTCCGTGCGTCTAATACAAAGCTACAGCCATAGATTTTGCTTGTTGAAACATAAGGCATTTTTAAGGGGTTTTGCTGGGTTATTTCTTGGCCAGGTGTAGTGACTTTCTGAAGTCTTTGCCGATTGTGTGGCGACCTAATAGCGATGACAGGACTGCAGGAAGAGAGACGGTCCGAGAAACAGCGCAGGATGCAACGAGATATACTTTGTAAATTATGGAGGTGTTGTTGAATATTCTGTTAGGTCGGCCGGTGTCAGGCTCACGGTTTACCCCTGTTTTTACTCACTGTGCTAATGATGGCAGCTTCATATTTGGTGTAGAGACATGAAGTTTGCCATCAATGTTCTCAACTCGCTCTTAGCAAACAGGGAATACATGTAAAATATTTCAATATATATATTACACACACACACACACACACACACACACACACACACACACACACACACACACACACACACACACACACACACACACACACACAATTATTATTCCATTGATCATACATCTAATATTAACTGATACCAGTTACAAAAAATGTTTTGCATTATTTTTGTCTGATCATCGTTCTCAGTGAAAGGATGAGGAGATCTGACAGAGGGCATCAAAGCATGTTCCTTCCTCAGCTTGCACTAACCGAGGAGAACTGACCGGACCAGGGATTCACTGATAAAACTAGACAAAAAAAACTTCTGATTTAAATTATGGCTCGAAATGTAATTCATCCCAACTCAAAAACTTTACCAGTGGGGAAATAATGGTGGATTTTCCATCTATTGTTTCTTAAATTGTGCAAAACACCTTTTAAGATTCCAGTTACTTAAATTTTTTTTAAATAAATAAATAAATAAAAACCACACAGGTTACTGTAAGTCTTTTTTACACCAGAAAATAAATAAAAATAACTTCATGATCTTGTTGGAGTGTTTGCTGTATATCTCAGAAAAGCGAGGCAGTAACAATAGCTGAAGAGTCTTCATTATTTCCAGAGCAAATGTGCTGCTCCGCACATAATGAAAAGAAGAGACAACAGATCTGCCGCCCTCGCGACTGAGGGACAGAGGATGCTATCAGTCTGCTACAGCCGTGCACGAGGCCCCAATTACAGCGCAATCACTGCTGGGAGGACTGAAGCCGGCTCAGCTCGGAGCCAAACTTTTGCAAAGACCCAACACGGCCTCCTCGGCCCCAATTGTGCCACTTGTAGATTACAACTTTCACACACACGCACACACATAGCACAGGAGGACAAACTCAGCTTTGCTTTCACAGACGCTCACAGAGACCCAGTGGTTTTATCCATTAGCTGTGTTCTCCTGCGTGAAGCGCAGCCCTCAGGCGGAGGAGAGGACGTGAGGCTCTCGGTGTCCCAAACTGACAGATTGGCTGTTCTGGTGTCGGACATGACTCCGCTCTGACAGCCCTTCTTTTTACTTTTAGGCCTTTAACGTCACACTGCCAAGTCATTTACAATCTTCCCGATGGAAAATGCTCTTCTGCGAGTGAGCCGGTTCTCCGTTACAGCCCGAGTGGGTTTGTTATTTCACTATTATTCCACAGCAGCACCAGCATTCACGGTACAATGAGGTACGGAAGATATCCAACAGGTAACCAAAACTACCGTTGTAGTACTAATGGTTGTTAATGGACCACATCGGAATTCATGCTTCTGTTTGTAGAGCTGAAGTGATCAGCAGATTGATTAGGTACTCAATCCAAAAGAAGATATATCACCAATTTTTGTTTCAATCCTTTTTCAAGCAAAAATGCCAAACGTTCGCCAATTTTATGGCTTCGTGGCTTTTTTTTGTCTTTTTTAAACTTGTAACAATGAATAGCTTTGGCTTTCGTAATGTTGTGGATACAAACAAAGCAATATGGAGACGTCACTCACGAATTACAATGGCCAGTTTTGTAGATGAATCAAGTGAGATGATGTTAACGGCCAAAGGATCGCCTTCGCATTCGTATCATCTTCAAGTAAAACATGCAGTTTTTGCAAATATGTGCTCGCAATTTCTTTACAATATGGAAATTAATTAAGGAACTCCACTGAACGGCATGCCTGCTTTTACTCCCGTCATGTTACGGATAATCCAAAATGATTGCAGCCCATTTATGTTAATGGTAACTAATGGTATCTATGGATGCGGTTGAAAGGGATTCGCCTTACATGCTTTCACAGAACCGGGCGAGCGTGCTGGGCTTCTCCTGGTTCCGACGTTGTCTGAACCAGCGCTGGATGGTCCGCACGTCCCAGTCCAGCTGCTTGGACAGGCCCTCCAGTCTCTTCTCATCTGGGTGCTGACAAGACAAGACGGAACGCCCCATTTTTCAGACGGGATGAAACCGTCAAAAGTAAATGACAATAATGAAGCGGAACACATGCGCCACCTTGGTTATAGCAGTGAAAACCTTCTCCAGGATGGCGTGGGGTTGGGCTTTTTGCGGCCCGTTGGTTTGGATCTTCAGTCCCATGGCACATGGTCTTGCTATACATCTGCAACACACAGACATCATCTTTGAGGTTAATTTAATGACGGTTGTTCATACTTAATGACGGGGACACTAGACGCGCCATTAGGAAGCTCATGCATATTCATGAATTGTTTGCAGGTGCTTGGTGAGAATCGTCTGTATCTGCTTGCTCCCCATTCTTCTTTCACTCTGCTGGGAAATGACGAAGTGGTGTCTCACAGATCATCATGGGGACAACGATTGGCTGAAACTGGGACATTTCCTAGAATTAAGGAAGAATAGGAAACACAGCTGCGTGCAGGTTTCTACCTGAACTTAACCATGTTGATTAACAATAAATGTCCTAATTTCATGGATTCAACCATTTAAAATCATATATTAGGTCTGTGTTGCGTTCGCTGCTGGTTTCAGATTATATTCAAATTATTTCAACACTAGATCTACAGGGGTCAATACCGAAAGACCCACACGGTGAGCTGCGTGTGGTTCACTGCACACTGATGATTGTGAGAGAAGCACCGCATCACAACTGGGGCAGTTAAAACAAAGAGCCCGTGACCAGCACCACTCTTGGTTTGAGTTGAGAGGCCACTAGCTGGATTTTGGGCAATGCATATAAACTTGGCTGCACACTGTGCGCGCGCGCATGTCTGTGTGTGTGTGTGTGCGCGCGCGCGCGCTCGGACAGACGCATCGCACGCAGACGGCGCGTGATGCTGCGGGCCTGCAGAAAGTACGAGGATCAGCCGCGGTGATGTGTTGTGCCAACCGAGGAGAGATGCCCATTGTTTGGATGACACGCTGGCGGAGGTGGCTGTAAAGCGAGGTGTGCTGCATCGAGCATTTCATCGACACAACAATGTCCCGATCAGAGACCCCCGTTCCCTCCCCCCGTTCCGTTCCCTTCCCTTCCCCCGTCCACCGTGGTTATTATCGCGTACGGGCTTCGAACTCACCTTTCGAAAACCAGCCGGATCATGAAGATGCAGAAGGCTAAAGGACACGCCAGATATAGATCATCCGCTTGCGGGAACGTGGCTTCGTCCGTGTTCTTTAAGTCAGCCCAGGTCACGTTGTGCGGGAGCCAGAACCTCTCGTTCCAAAACCACGCCAAAACACCGGCCATCGCTCCCGGCGAAGCAGGCAACCGTGAGCCGGAGGCGGGGAGCGTTGGTGGGAGAAATAGACCGAAGCCCGCGGTGTATCCGAAGTGTCCCCTCGCACGCGATCGGACCGGCGCAGACTCGGGAGGACGTGGAGAGATATCCGCTCGAGATCGACCGAAACGTCCGTCCGCTTTCACCTCACACCCCCCCGTCAGCTGCTCCGGTGTAGGGAAGTAGAGTCAATCAGCTCCAGAGCGGCTGATTGGTGCGTTCAAATGTCATGCAGCACGGTCGGTGGACGTAATGCCGGTAAATTGAGTTTTTTTTTTTTTTTTAATAAATAAATTACGTCGCACCTTTTGTGTCACTCCCGTCTCTTTTGATGAACTGACTGTAGAAGAGTGGATGTTTTTGTTTGTTTGTTTCTGTTTTCTTATCTTTAGACATCTTGCCGTTAGATTATCGTAGGAAAAACCACAACGAGGCCACGCCAGATATCTCCTAGTTATTATAACCAAACTCAAACCAAACGTTAGTGTTTTTTTCAGTAAAAGTCAAATTTAAACCAAATTTATATGGCGACAATTTAGAAGACTAGACTGCATCATGTTTGTAAACCACGCCTCCTGCTGACAGTTTGATGGCCTGTAGTTGACCTCCGGGAAGTAGCATTCTGACCTGGCATTCGGATGTTTGATAACCAGAAAACCAAAGTTTTGTATTTTTCATGTATTTTAGCTTCGGGCATTTAAATTTAATATATATTTATATAATATATATTTATATTTAGACTATTGTCTAAGGGACTCTTGGACTAGATATTGAATTATACAGATATACCTTCTAATACAGAACCTTCTAATACACGCCAATTTTTTTTTTGAATTACGTGTAAAACATAATTAACAATCAACATTTTCAACAAAGACTATATCATAAATATAAGGACATATTTATTAAACATACATTCATATCATTTTATGTCTTTGTCCCAGTCATCGTCACACGCTACTGGACAATGTAACGCGTTAGTGGCGCCATCTACCGGCCGGTGTGCGCGTCGTCTCCGCCGAAGTCCCACTACGTGTGACACCAAGTCGTCACGCATCCGTATTACTGTCTCACACGAAGCCACAGCCGGGTCGTGTTTTACCGGACAATACAACCTAAACCGGTTTGACCCGACAGTTGCCCGCAAACACGCAAAATAGGTAAAAACCAGGATGCCTTTGACTCTCCTGACATGCATCTACTCCAATCAATGTTCTCTCTGTGAGCGCGGAGCGCGCCGTGCCATCGTCGTGAAGTCAACTGCTGGCGCGTCACTCGCACGGCGGCGGCGACGCGCGCGTGTGTGTGTGCGCGCGCACGCACGTGTGTACGGACCGTTATTTTTTTTCCGGGTTGCGTCTCCTCGCGCGCGTTATAGTCGTTCTGCTGCAGCCGCCGGATGACATTTGTAGTGAGGAGGTGAGGTCAAATTTGACTCCCCCTCTCTCTCTCTCTCTCTCCCCCTTCCCCCACCCCTCTCTCTCTCTCTCTCCTTCTCTCTCTCCCCTCTCTCTGTCCGTCCGTCTGTGTGTGAGAGAGAGAGAGAGAGAGAGGCTTCCTCTAACTAGCGCAGAATCATCATCATCATGGCGGATCAAGGCGAAGCTCCGGCTCCCGTCCTCCCCCCGCAACCGGCGCTGACAACCGGCTGGCCCATCACCAGGGAGTCCTACGAGCTGCAGGAAGTCATAGGTTAGTACCCGGAGATGCGACGCACGCCGCGCAGGACCACGGAGAAGGCTTCTCAGCCCCGGGATGAAGATGAGGGGCCTACCGGCTTTTTTCCGCTTCTTCTTCTTCTTCTTTTTTATCATATGCAGTAGCCTCCTTACATGCTTTGCAATGCGGATGTTAACAGACACGAGCGGCGCGCGGGTGCGTGACCCCCGACTGCGAGCGTGTGTCGTGAATGTCACTTTCCCAAAGTGCGATCGTAGCTAGTGACGTGAAAGATGCCGAGTGATGCCCCCGACGGGTTATTTCAACGTGGCGGCACTTAAACAGAACTAAACAGCATGTCCCCTCCGCGCGAGACAAGTGGGCGATGTTTCAAGTCCAACATGTCTGATAGTGATGCAGATGATACGGGTCATAATAGTGGAATAGTTGTTTTCAATTTAAAGTAGAAATAAAAGTGAGAGACTTCACTCGTAGCAGGGCTGTAACTATTTATTATTTTTAATTAGTACTATTTTTGTCATTTTTCCATGTATTATTTAAAAAAAAAAATGTAATATTCAAAAGGAGTGAAAAAATGGCCATCATATTTGCTCTAAGCCAAAGAGTGATGTCTTAAGATGTGCCTTTGATGTCTGATCCACGGTGTAAAAGTGATTATATATTTAATTCACACTGAAGCGGTAGTAGTCTTTACGTAGGAGAGTCTGCATCAAACAAATGTAAGGATGTTTTTGCTCAATGTCCTAACCGATTGCCCTAATTGTTGTTTCTGTTTCTGGCACAATTATTTGGTGCCTGTAGATCATGAAACAGTTCCACAGTACTTCCTTGCTGTAATTAAACCTTTTCAAAGTAAAAAAAAAAGAAAAGCAGACAGCAAAAATCACGCTCAATTCCGGTCTTACCATGTATCGTTTATTTTTAGAAATATTCATTTTTAAATTAACAAATTGAGAAATGGAAGTCGCCTGAATATTTCTGGCACATGCACTGGACGGTGCAGATGAGCTCAAAGGTCCCGTCATTCCGGATAAGAAGTAGCCCCACAGCTGTGTGCTGCTGACTGGGACAGGTTGGTGGGTCCCCCCCCCCCCCCCCCTCTCTCTGTTCTCTCAATCAACTAGTAAGCAGCCCGATCTCACGTGTTCTCTTCTTATCTACCACTACCAGTTGGAAAGCAATACGCTGCGTGTCACAGCTCCGTGCTGTGAAGACCTTCCCCACTCCGTCGTGGCCTGATTTGTAGTGAAACAAGCGAACAACCCACCGCATTGCAGAAAAGAAGCGCCGAGCTCAAAGTCGGCTTATGTCATGGTCAGCCAGCACGCATGAAAGATGAACACCGTAACGTAAACACGGAGCCCGTGGAACAGAGGGGCCGGACGAACACCAGAGTTTGAGAGATAATACGCTTCCAGCTGTGTGTCTGTGCTCTCTTCTTTACTCTGCACTTTTGTGCCTGTGATTCCAGGCAGCGGGGCCACAGCTGTGGTGCAGGCCGCCCTCTGTACCCCCAGACAGGAGCGCGTCGCCATAAAGAGAATAAACCTGGAAAAATGCCAGACTAGCATGGATGAGCTGTTGGTGAGTACAATAAATACAGGCTGCTTTTCAAAGTGGGCATTCTTTATTTCCATCTACTTTTCCTCTGTAGGTTTCGAATAAGGATCTTCATTAACACAACTCAGACTAAATCATTTGCTGCAGGGTTGTCTACTATGTTGTGATATGTCCTACTGCTGTGATTAAAAGTTCACTCAAATCTGTCCATTCTCACATAATTTGACGCGTCATCCTGTTGTTTTTCTCTGCCAATAGAAAGAAATCCAGGCAATGAGCCAGTGCTACCATCCCAATGTTGTCACCTACTACACCTCCTTTGTAGTGAAGGATGAACTTTGGTTAGTCATGAAGCTTCTGAGTGGAGGTAAGCTTCTGCTACTTAATCTACATCCCTGGCTTCATACAGCTTGAAAGCTCAGTGAATGAGATGATAAATGTTACAATACCTGATGCTAGTCTCAAATGGTGCAGCAATACACTGTACGGTAATTGTCTTTTGAACTACGTTGGTTACCATCATATATTTATAATTCAGTAATAATAAAAAAGAGCTTTCTAATCAACATTTAACCCATTTAGTTCCCGTGATATATCCTCAAAAGTCATCAGATCTTAATCTTTAATAAGTACTAATTTTGCACAATATTTAGACTGGGTTTATTAAAGTCATAAGTCACATTCTTGGTCCCATGTTATTGTAAATAGCTTACGGCGCACACTTGTGAAGGAAGTACAACAGGGATTTAATCCACTGCGCTTTTACTTTTTACTGAAAGGACGACAAACAACTAATAGATGCTGAATATTTTGTGTGACATTGCAACCGATTTGGGTTTGTCAAGTTTTTCTGTTGTTCTATGATGTCTTTTTAGGCTCCATGCTGGATATAATTAAGCACACAAACAAAGAAGAGGACAGAAATCGACATCTCGATGAACCTATTATTGCTAGTATATTAAAAGAAGTCCTTGAGGGCCTGGACTACCTGCACAGGAATGGACAGATCCACCGGTAACCGCTTGAATATTTTAAACTTATTCGTTTTTGCGGGATTTATTTTGCAAGAATTAAGAAACTAATTTAAAGAAAACTTTCCAGTCACAATCCCAGTGAAAGACGGCCCCAAGTAAAAAACACGTACAAACACACAACATGTTCTCACTCTCTATTTATTGGCAAGCAGTGCAGTGGTTGAGTACTCTGAACTTCCTGTGTTTCAAGGTCACTGCCGGGCAGGCTTGAACAGCCCCGAAGCCCCTTGGGCACAGATCCAGATGGTAGTGGGCTGTGGTGGGCTGTGCTGGGACTCGCTTACACGAACGGAAGAATCAATGCTGCTGCCCCGCGCGGCTTTGTTGTTTGACTGTGTTTGTGTTTTGTCGACCTCAGGGATGTGAAGGCTGGGAACATTCTACTGGGAGAAGACGGATCCGTTCAGATTGCAGGTGCGCTGAACACGATGCGGCCGCTGTCCTCTGTTATCGTTTTCTATAAGTTAACAAAACCCAAAGCAAACTACACACATTGTCTCTTCTATGTTTGATACAAAAATCCTGTCTGCGGCCGCGTTCATTTCGACACGCCGTTCGATCCGGGTTGGATGGTTACGCTCGCTGGTTCATCTGTGTTTTTCAGATTTTGGAGTAAGCGCATTCCTTGCCACAGGGGGAGATATGACTAGAAACAAAGTGCGAAAGACGTTTGTCGGCACGCCATGTTGGATGGCGCCGGAGGTGATGGAACAGGTGAGTCCATCTCCCTGCGCACTAAAAGGCTGGTGATATCATATCTTATTTGAAATGTGTTTGTCTGAGCTCGCTTCTCTGGCGCACTGCGCAAATAAACCACGGAAACGCTAACAAACATAAAGCCCCAGAGATTGAAGTGTATTTGCTATTTTGTATTATTGTCATTCTCCACCCGCAGGTTCGAGGCTATGATTTCAAAGCAGATATATGGAGCTTTGGAATTACCGCCATAGAGTTAGCAACAGGCTCGGCACCCTATCACCGCTACCCTCCCATGAAGGTGAGGGTTCTGGATGTTACTATAAGATGCTATTTTATCAGTGGTGTATTCAGAATTACAGCTACTGCACCCGCTCTCTCACAAGAGAGATGAAAGCAGAGCCTGTGAATTAATGGCGTAGCAAAAAAATCCTCTAACCCAACTTGTTTCATCAACATTGGCAAGGAAGGAACGCGGAGAGACGTGACGCATTGTGACTTGCTTCTTTTCGCCTCAAATTGAGAAACTAACTAAACAACAGGAGGAAACTTTTGTTCTGAAGACATTTTTCTTCCCTCTAAATGTCTACGGTTTACTGCTGAAATGTGAGGGCCGTTTTAAACCCTTTCTTTTGTCTTTTAGGTTTTAATGCTCACCCTACAGAATGATCCCCCCACTCTAGAGACCGGCGTAGAGGACAAGGAAATGCTAAAAAGATACGGCAAATCGTTTAGAAAGCTAATAACTATGTGCCTTCAGAAGGATCCTGCCAAAAGGTTAGAACATCTTACCATATACTAACAAAATATTTCAGCGCAGAGAGCTGATGCAGTTTGGGATCAATAAAACCCCCCGGTTAACATTCAGAGAGCGCTGTGTTGTGATGTATCTTCAGCAGTGTACTTTTTCTGTCTTTAGGCCGACAGCCGCAGAGCTTTTGAAGTGTAAATTCTTCCAAAAGGCGAAGGTATTTGCTTTATCAATTTTTACATTTATATTATTTTGTTAATTACCTACGAGCTACATGGCAACTTTTTAACACGTCATAACTCATTCATCTAATTTTCAGATTGAAGATTCATTTTTGTATTTTTCTCTTACAGAACAAAGAATATTTGGTTGAAAAGCTTTTGTGTTGCGCACCAAAGATTTCCCAGCGAGCGAAGAAGGTATGTTTACAAAAACCCCCCTTTAAAATACCTCACTTATTGACTAAACATGAACAAATTATGTCACAGTGTCCTTGTCCGCCAGAGTGTTACATTTACAGTCAACATTAGCTACGCACGCTGACTTTCTTTAGTACCTTAAACACTTCAGGCCGACCCTGTTGTGTAGATTATGTAAAAATATGGGACACTGCAGCGGGAGAGTCAAACGGCAAAGATGTACTTACATCTTGCACTAGTAGCCCTCGGCTCTCTTCATGTAGCACACTAAAAGACAAATAGGGTCGCACTAATTGATCACATTGGGCGTCACAAAGGAGCACTTTATCGTCCAGCCTGCTTGCTCAGTGTCGCAGTGTAATGTGGAGGATGTGCAGTTTTCAGGCACAGCTGATATTGGCTTCACATAACACTGCGCCTGGATGCCCATGGACAGGAATGGGATCAGAGGGCCACCGCCGGAAGGGCAGAGTGGCCACGTGGAAGGGCTGGAAATTCACTGACTGCTGGGGAGTAAATGGAGGGCATAGTGGACAGCAGGGCTCCTACTGTGTGTGACGTTGATGCTACGCACAGACAGGACAGGGTGTCAATAAAGAGGGAGGCCGCGGTTGTTGTGGGAGTGGCACAACGTTGGGGTTTGTTGACGGGTGAAGCGGTAGCTACAGACATATGTAGCGGTTGCTATAACGAATGGACACTTACACTTATTGCTAACTTATTACATTTTTTCAACACAATTGTGTTTTTTTGCGCTGCGAATTATGCGAGATTGGATCTAAAACGGTGCAAATGTACTTGTTTCTCCATTTTCTCTTTATATTTAAGTGGGAAAAATAGACGGCATGCCCAGTAAATATAGCTGATTCACACGACAGCTTCGGTGGATGAAATGCATGAGCCACAGAGCCAGTGTCCTCGTAGCGTTCTGCTGATTTGACCTTCAGAGTCATCTCCATTATTCATTCAGCAAACATTACACGGAGCTGGCGCAGACACACTGCACAAACATGGTCGTCTTCGGATGCTGCGACCCCTTTATGTGAAGATCACTGCGGCCTCACTCTCCGAAAACCTTGTCCAATCACTCCCAAACTTGCTTCATCTATTTGAATTGGCTCTTTTCCTTGATGGCATTGTTCTGCTGGTGTAGGTTTTGTCCCGTGTTGTTTTGTGGGAGTAGAATGGAGTGTGTTAACAGCTACTATCCCGACTTAATCGACATGGCCAGCAATTCTGTCCTTGCTTCTGTCCTTGTTTCTGTCCTTGGCCCCGTCCTCACTCTGGCTTGTTGTGTTACTATAATGTATAAGGCTGATGCTTTGCAGATCGGGTGTGATTCCTGTGATTTATTGAAGCGTATTATTGCAGGTCTGGTAGTGGGGTTTGACTCCCATAACGGTTTCGGTGGTTGCAGGCATAAACCCATCACTAGTGCACTTACTATCTGTTGCTAAGAGTTACTATTTTCAACTTTTGCTCCTGAAAACAGGAAAATAAACATTTGAATGGACTGGAAAAGCTGCTTTAGAGCCAGACTGCTCGAACAAAGCCATACCTTTTGAATTGACCCTATTTGTCCTTGAGCATACTTAAGTAAATCAAAAGGAGATGACGGATCCTCCCGTCAGCTGTCACCAACTAAGTCATTGGAAATGAATACTTGTTTGAAAAGGAGGGAGATACTCAGGAATGGTTTCTTGAAAATAAGAAGGACGTGAGGAATAATGGAAATATTATGCTTTAATTGCAGCCCATTTGAAATATGAATGTAAAAAAACCATCATGTTCATTCATTATGAATTTCTCAACCGCAGTGAGTTGAGTCACCAGCAGAGGGCACCCTGACACGCACGTTTCATTTGTTTTATTGTTTGAAGATTAGGCATTTTACATATTTTTTAGGGGGCAAGAACATTTCTTGAAACTTATGAAATAACATTTAACCTTTAACATTGAAGGATAGTTACTCATCAAGTTCTGTATGGTTGCCTTATGAAGCTTGATTTCAAATAAAGGGCCTTTTACCTGAAGGTGCATCAGTTATCGCTTATTGTTCTCCGCTAATCCGCATATCAGCATTTATAAACACTTTCAGGTCATGAGTATTGTTTTAATTCATGCTCTAATATAATTTATTTCGTTAGCTGCGTGTTTGGGGTCAGTCTGGTGATCGTGTGTGGCTACTAGGTGCATTGATCTGTGTCTGTCTGGCTCAAGGAGCCTGAGCAGGACTCGAGGAACATTTGTCTCTGTGTGGTTTGAACCCGACAGTAGCACAGCGGTAGAGCTTCTTTGACTTAGGTCAGTGATGGAGCATTAATATAGCCAACGTGTTTTACCGTAACACTGGTGTTCTCATCAATTACCTCATGGACCAGCCACGTCTTTCTTCCCTTTCACACTCCTCCAGACTAGTGCTGTACCGAATTACAGGTTTTTACCAAGAATCACCAATGCTATGAGGAAAAACGTGGCAGTAACCTTTCAAAATGAGCCAATAGTATGTACAACCTACACAATCAGAATCAAAAATGAGACATTTTCAAAATATTACAATACAAATTATTTTATTATTAAAACAAACCTTAGGGGTAAATAGAACCGTAGGTCTTTATGGATATAGGGTACAATGTAATTCATTATTGTGTTGCAAGTCTTTTTTTCAATAACATTTTGTAAAATTCTGGTATAAAAAGTTGAAAGTTATGTTTCTATAACAAGATTTGATTTTTGTAAAAAGGGCTTTCGTTTGGTGCATACAAATAATGAGAAACATACCTTAGTTAGTTTATTAAATAGGCAAATCCTTTTTAATATTACAAACATGTTTTCTCAGGGAGGGGATACTTTAGGTCAGCCGATCACAAGGATTCCATCGTTCTATTTCAAAGGCTTATCAAACCCACGAGAATCACAGGCTAAACCACAATGCATGTACGCGTTCAAGCTAAAACTATGAATGCCATCATCGACCGTGCTGGGTGTGTGTGTGTGTGTGTGTGTGTGTGTGTGTGTGTGTGTCACGCTGCAGGTGAGGAGAGTCCCGGGCTCCAGTGGTCACCTGCACAAGACAGAGGATGGAGACTGGGAGTGGAGCGACGACGAGCTGGACGAGAGCAGCGAGGAAGGCAAGGCGGCGGTGAACCAGGGCCGGGTACGATACCAAGCCCGACTGTAGCCGTGTACATTATTTCCTCTTCACCCACAGTTCTCACAGTCTTCTTCAAATGCGAAAGTTGCATTACGTTTATTAAGAGCATCGTTCCTACATTTTATTTGTTTCAGCTTCATTTGTCATTATGACAAACTACAATAGGCACATTTTAATATTTTTATATTATGAAGGTGTTATGACGTATTTTGCCTCCCCTCTGTCTTTGACCCCGTTCATTCCTTCCCTCCCCGATGCGTAAGTTCTTTTTTGGGGAGAAGATGGCTTATCTTAAGAGAGCCTGTCATAGGGTCGCTGTAATGAGCTGGAAGATAGCTGCAAGGATTTGAGACAGGAGACAGTAGGCAGCCAGGATCAAAGGGCCCTTTGATAAAGATACCCGGCTTTAATGTATGATGCAACAAATCACAGGATGCCAGAAGTTGTGACTTAAGAATATTTAAGTTGGCGACGGTAGTCATTTACAGGGACGGGATTCTGGTTTCCTTTCATCAATCACAGACTTTTTTTAGCCGTTGTGCTGTAAAAGAATATTTTTTGTCCTTTTGAGGAAGTGAAAAAGCAAATAAATCATTATTAATTCTGTTTGATAGGAACATGTAAATGTGTGTTTGATTTTTCCCTCCAGTCACGAAGAGTCAGAGATGAGGCCAAAGATGTAAGTTAGCTCCCTCATACACCAATTTTTGAAATACAATTAGAAATATTTTTTGTATTAAAGGGAGAAATGAAATGAGTAAAAATCAGCCTTATCCTTTCGGTTTTGTTGGCAGAAGTTTAATTTAAGTTTAAGCCCTTTAATCTGTCTTAGAGTCTAATAAAGTCAGCAAATTGCTTTGATGCTTTGAGATTACTTTCATGTGTGAAAAATACAATATATATGTATGTATTTGTTTCTTTAAACAAATATATATACCAGACTTTTCACAATTATGCCTCTTGTTATGTTCCTCCTAGAATGAGGAGAACGCCAACAATCTCCCTATTGAAGGGTTGTCTATTCAGCATCCCCAGGTGAGGGATTCAGCAGCGGCACAGTTTTGTCATGATTTAATGATCTCGATGCCACAATGATTGTCTGTGTGTGTTTGTGTGAATCCGTGGGTGTGCACACGGCACTATACCTGTGTGACTGTGCACGCGTGCAGGGAGCCGGATATGTGCGCGTGTTTGAATGCCGGTCTCCTGCAGGGAAGCTCTCAGCACGCGGCCTCTCTGAGTAAATCACTGTTCCAGCCGAGAGGCCGGCTGTATCTCAGACTCTGGATCCCGTTTTCGAGGCTGTTGTCTTTTTGAAAAGAAGCCAAAGCGGTTTGAGGACTGAACTCTGACAGTGACTCAGCCGTCATTTCTTACCTCTAAAGTCCATTATTTGCTGTGCAAAGAGACAATTCGTTAAATGGTATTGAAAACGCCAATGCACCAATACTGATCAGCCCAATACTGGCTCGCTTAGCTGGATTGACTTTAGGTGACAGTCGGCTCATCTGCTATTGAACAGCATTATCTCACAGTAGTACAGATAGTAACAATTTGGTACATTTATGTCAGAGTACTTATTTGTAACATTTTGCTTTATAAAGTTAGCAATGCAATGTTTAGGTCAAGCCTGGTGTTGTCTCATCATGAAAGAATGATCTCAGCCTCTTCCACGCAGCCTATGGGTACTTGTTATCGGCCAATATGTAAAACCCAAAAGGTCGCTGCATCCCTTATGTGTTGTTCATTTTCTTTTCTCCTACAACTTTTCCCGCGGTTGTAATATTTATTTATTTATTTATATATTTATATTTATATAATATTTGTTTAATATTTATTATGAAAAATAAACCACATGCGCTGAGTGTGCCGTATATATTTTCATCTTTCAGGACCTCTGGCTGTGCAGTGCATTCTGTGTGCAAAGCTTCTTTCTCTTTTCCATTTCCCATGTTTCTGCTTTGCTGATCTCTGAGTCCATTAGCGTGCCACGTAAACTGCCTCATCATTGGATCTGTTCCCGTGCAGGTCGAACCCTTTGGAAATACGCCCTACATTGACGGCGCTCTGAACATGGTGCTACGACTAAGGTGAGACGGGTATTTATTTTCAGAAATATTTGCTGTTTCTGTGGAGTAAAAGCTGACGACTTCTTGTGTTTCTGGATGCGTCGTCGCTTTGTCCTGTTGGTGTGGGCCATTGATAGAGGGAATGATCTCTGCTTGTCAGGGAGGGAACCCCTCCATCGTCACGGATCCTTTCATCTCCCTTTGCCTCACCGGTTGTGTTTGTAGGAAGAAATGGGTTTACACTCCATTGCTTCTTCCTTTTAGAGCACCACTTGCTTCTTGCCTTTGTATCCCAGACGGTGCTGTTCACCAGCATATGTGAACGGCACAGTGGGGACTTGGGATTCGGCCTCGGGATGATCAATTTACGAAAAAAAATGTAGCTCACTTAGAATTGAACATATGTAATCGGGAATGCAGGGCGAGTGTACACATAACACATACATGATGTGCATTACATACGTTACACATACATCTCTCTTACAGAGTGTTCTATACCGTATGCAAACCCACCAACAGAGAAACTGACGTACACAGAGAGCCCTTTTTTGACAGCGTTGTCCGTAGTTCCCCGATGAGCTGCTGGCGCAGCACTCGCACGGTCCAACAGACGTCTGAGGCGCTCCGCTGGCGTTCCACAGGGGGCAACGCATCGTTTGACGATGCGGGGAGTCATTATCCTAACCTAGTTATTCAAATAAGTGTTGCTTTTAAATGGTTTGTTTTTTTTCAAGCCCCTCGGCTTCACCGTTTACCCTTTGGATTGCATTATTTCTGCTCAATTTGGGGACTTTATAGCTCAAAGACATGACGCAAATTAGATGTGCTTATATCAATTGCTATAATTAAAACATAAACTCTAATTCCAGTTTACTAATGAAAAAACATAAATACTGTTATCCTGTTAACTTCTGAATGAGCTTAAAAAGGTGTCAGAGCCGAGCAAATGAATTAAACGCATTCACTATATTTAACATAATCCCAGCGTTAGGCTGTCAGATCCTCTTTCTGGTCTGTCAGGAATATTCAGTATTAGAATTGCAAACATGTGGCGGACGCCTTCTTAAATGTAAAGCCATTGAGCTTGAACAATTTATTTTCTTCAACAGATGAAGTTTTCAAATGTTATTATATATTCAGGTGGATTACAGGCCTTTCACTATAGTTTGCCATAGGGGAACAGTGGGATCCTTAATATTCCTCGGGAATAGAAAAGAAAAAAGACACTTGAAAGAACATTACTCTATATTTGATGTTGCAGCAAGATAAAATGAACCCCTTTGACAGCATTAATAGCATGTCAATATCAAGCCTCTCATTGTGTTTAGTTTACATAAAAGGCAAGAGGTTGTGAGCTATTTGTTTCTGACTGAACAGTTCCTTTAAGAGAAGATCACCTTTGCTTTATGGTCTCTGGTGGCTTTGGAGTGAATCAGTACGGTGATATTAGATGAGAGAACCATTTTCTGTTGTTGTTTTTGTTGAAATTATCATTAAATACTGACAGCAATTACTGGGACAAAGAAAAGGAATCTAACAACTCCAGTAACGTAGGAAGCCGGTCCGATCATTTAATTTATCTCCGATTATACGATTGGAGCAGCTATGGCTTTTTTTTTCTGCAATGGCACAGAGGTCTCCTGAGAAGATTATTGTCCGCTGCATTTTCAAACTAACATGCTCTTGGTGCGTTGTTGTTGTTGCCAAAAGCACGCAGTTGCATATAGTTTTCTACTAAGCAGTTCAGTCTAGAGGTGACATTGCATGTTTCATAAAGGTTGTTATAGGGTAAGAAGATGTTAGCTCCTGAAAAAGTTTCTTGATCTCTGTTATACAAATGGTTTGTGCCTCCAATATCGAATGTTAGCCTGAAGTTGACAACTTGCTGCCATCTAACTGTTGTAGCACAATAACTAGATCATGATCCCTCCCTGGTTGTAAACCCTGGGGATGTACCAGCAATTCATTAGAATTAATTAACTGGATGTGACTCGTGACAGTCAGCTTCCGCTGCGGTGCCTGAGGGCGACTATCACTGCATCTCCCACCGAAAGCAAAGATATGATCAAAGTTGAGAAGGAAGAAAAATTACAAAACTATAAACAGAAAAAAAGCATAGCTTGAAATATAGCTTTTACCTAATTATGTTTCAACACACGTTATAGTTCTTTTCAAGTACAAAACTTGAAATCTTAATCATTGGTTGCCTATTTATATTCATTATACATATTTATAAGATGAATGGAAAGCTGTTTACGCAAGCTATAAACGGATTATATGTCTGTAATGTACTGACTAACCATCCCTGATGCACACGTGAGACTAGATTTCTCTCCCAGTTCCCATTATGTTTGCCAATGAATTGTTTATTGAAGCCTTTTTTTTTATTTAATAGTGATCACACTAAACCTTTTTTGTTCAAAATCATTTGCCATAAACCTCTCACTGTCCTGTGGGATCATACAGCCATCCCACATAGGCGAGCCAGTTCACAATGTGTCAAAATATTAAGAGAGGGGTGAATGAAGTCCCAATTTTGCTGCAATTGAGCCAGAGAAATAGGACTTTAATAGGACTTATTTAAAGAACAAGATTGATCCTCTTTATATAAAGTACATGTGGCCTTGAGAGCCATGGCAACGTGCTCCCTCTGCTCCCTCTGCTCCCCTCTCCTCCCCTCTGCTCCCTCTCCTCCCTTCTGCTCCCTCTGCTCTCTCTCCTCCCTCTCCTCCCTTTGCTCCCTCTGCTCCCTCTGCTCCCTCTCCTCCCTTTGCTCCCTCTGCTCCCTTTCATCCCTCTCCTCCCTCTCCTCCCTCTGCTCCCTCTCCTCCCTCTCCTCCCTCTCCTCCCTTTGGTCCCTCTGCTCCCTCTGCTCCCTCTGCTCCCTCTCCTCCCTTTGCTCCCTCTGCTCCCTCTGCTCCCTCTCCTCCCTCTGCTCCCTCTCCTCCCTCTGCTCCCTCTGCTCCCTTTGCTCCCTCTCCTCCCTCTGCTCCCTCTGCCCCCTCTCCTTCCTTTCCTCCCTCTCCTCCCTCTCCTCGCTTTGCTCCCTCTGCTCCCTCTGCTCCCTTTGCTCCCTCTCCTCCCTCTCCTCCCTTTGCTCCCTCTGCTCTCTGCTCCCTCTCCTCCCTCTGCTCCCTCTGCTCCCTCTCCTCCCTCTGCTCCCTCTGCTCCCTCTCCTCCCTCCCTTTGCTCCCTCTGCTCTCTGCTCCCTCTCCTCCCTCTGCTCCCTCTCCTCCCTCCCTCTCCTCTCTCTGTTTCGTCTGCTTCCTCTGCTGGGAAAAGAGAAGTTGTTTACGTCCATCTGCTCCACTGCTGCTCTGCTTCTACTCAGTTTTTTCTTTTTTCGAAATGTAACTCTAAAATAAAAATAAAAAGCCAGTGCACATCCCATCTGAAATTCCCCCTCACTGTTTTGTATAGACTTCATTAGATAGTAAAAAAAGTAATGGCAGATATGTCTTTACTTATGAATGGCTCAGATCTCAACTGAACGCAGTGGTGCCCTGTGGTTTATTGAACCAGTCTACAAACCAAATGAATCTATCACACTTCTTCTGGGCATCACTGCAAGTTCCTCATTTATCATCACCCGGCTGACTAATCCACAGCCACACACAGACTAACAAGACTGATTTGAAATGCAAGTCATGCAAATGAATACTTGTGCTGCAAAGAGGCTGGATGGCACACTTCATCGAAGCTTGCTTAATGCAATAATGCTTTCTTTACATTATTCTGCAGCGTAGGGTTGATGTAAAAACTAAAATCCCATTGAGTCACACCCAATCTCCACTGAATCAGAGCGCACATAATCTGCAAAGGTAAATGCACTCGGGTAGGCAGTTCTTCATGTAGTGTAGATTTGAGTAAAGCAACTGTCTTCTATCCTCTTTCATCTCGTGGTTGCAGCTGGTGTGAGGTTAGACAGCTGTCACCTTTATCCTGCTCAGTATGAGCAAAACCACTGAAACATTTCCTCTGCACATTTGATATAGTCTTTTTTCATCAAGTGCACATTTTCCCCACAGGTGCTCTACTTTTATGGATTTTGTCCATACAAAGTGTGGAAAAATTCTAAAAATCTATTACCTTTTTATGGCAACTCATTTACCTAATCATTGAAGGAAAATAATTTATTTCAAGCACTGGATGAAACCGATCCGGTGTGATGTGAAAGGACTTGCGGATAGTGACATCATCTCTATGCAGCATTTTAGTCCCTTTCAGCTCAATGATTTGGGTTTCTTTCCAGTGAATTTACTCATTCAGTTCCCCTTCACAGCTCTTATGGGTGCGTTTCTCCAGCAGAAAAAATGACAGTCAATTAGGAAATATTTAGCTGTTAATATTAGAATTTCCCAAAACAGCATCCAAAGTAGAGCAAATATTGGACCACCATTAGTCATGTGAACACAAACACACCTCAGAATGAATGTAAATGTTGGTGCTGGATGAGTAAATACACCACTGTTGGCAGCATGTTCACCACATTGATTGACGATAGTATGTGAATGTTGTGTTTACAGCTAGTTTCCACTCCCCCCAAGTGGCCAAAATAATCATTGAAAGCAGGTTTGTGAGCTAGTTCACATACAGTAAGTCATTGTCAGGTCTACACTCAGCCTCTGTCCAATGGTCTCTGCTTGCTTTAAATGTTGCTCCCTGTTCTTTCTGCCACGGGAGACCGTGACAACTTAACCGTTAACAGGCAGAGCTGCAACAAATGTATCTGTGACATTTTAGATACCACTGGAGCAATCACACCCTTCTGACTCCTCTTGCAGGAACTCTAAAAAGGAGCTTAATGACATCCGGTTTGAATTCACCCCTGGGCGAGGTAAGAGCTCTGCCTGCCTGGATTTGTGCTGTTCCACTCGTGAAAACATCTTCAGGCGCTGTGAATTGTTAGAATTGTTAACGGCAGTGTTTGTGGTACAGACTACATCTGATTCAATATTAAACATGATTACCCGCTGTGGGGAATGCTGCAGGCCTAATGTTTGTCATTCTACTCCCTCATTAGACACAGCTGAGGGGGTTTCCCAGGAACTGTTCTCGGCCGGCCTGGTCAACGGACACGATGTTGTTGTTGGTAATGTTACACATTTTTATTCTGGTAAAATGTGTTGAATAATTACTGAGATGACAAATGACCATAATCTGATATAGCTAAAATGACTCTTTCCTTTGATCACATCATAAATGTGTATATATATATATGTATATATATATTTATATATATATATATATATATATATATATATATATATATATATGTATATATATATTTATATATATATATATATATATATGTATATATATATTTATATATATATATATCAGTATTAGGGTTCAATATGCAGCCAGGTGCCTACCTAAAATGAATCACACAGAAAATATGTTAAATTACAACACGAGACAAACAATGTTGTAGATTAATAGGCTTGAGTTGAAGTCAGCTGAAGCTCCACCTCCTCGTCTCCTCCTGCGGAATAGGAGTATTAAAATGACTGGAGGGATTGGATTCATTAATCATAGAAGAATAACTTATTCCTTTTCCCACAGCCAGGATTCAGCAAGACAAAATGTCTCTAGATGATTATCTGTTATTAAAGGACTGGCCTTTTCAGCTTTAGATAACAGGAACTCGTATGCACTTACGCAAGGCTTGGTTTTCTTGTTCGCTGGCTTTAAATTTCCAAATAATCCATCTCATATTCAGGGAACATTTGCCAGAATTGAATGAATCCCTTTTTAGTGTTAGCGTTATGTACCATTGATAGTATACATACTTTTAAAGCACAATGCTTAAAAATATCATATTTTTCTAGTATTGATATTGACACTAAACTTAACGTTATTCTGTTGTACTTCATGTACTGACATTGACTCTTTATATTGTAAAAGTTGTTTGATGTTATTTGTGATGCTATTGAATCTGACCCTCTGCACCACAGTTGCTGCTAACCTTCAGAAGATTGTAGATGACCCGAATACCTACAAAGTGTTGACCTTTAAGCTGGTGAGTTTCCAAATGATTGATGGCCGATGCAGCCCCGCTGGGTTTGTCCCGGCTGACGTAAACAGCTTTTTGATGAAGGGTTCACCGAGGAACGTGAGAGTTGAAGTTATTAGAAAGGCTTCAGAACCAGCATCTGTTGCTGAACCCGTTTCACTTGATGACACAAAGAACTTAATGTAAGAATGTTTAACTCAACCAAGGAAAGTGTGGCATGATTGTGACACGCAAGTGCAAGTGTTTGGGTGTATTTTGGATAAAACAACATAATAATTAGCTCTAGTCACACTCTGACAATGACTTTCCCTGCTTGCATCGCTTATCTGCCATTATAAGAAGTTACCTTTCTATTAGATAATCAGTGACATTTACGAAAAAAGGCAATTCTTTTGGATTTGAGCAATTCTGTTTTGTTCACCTTAATGTAATTGTAGGTAAAAACCATCTGTGCTTGGTTCACTATGCGCTACACTGCCCTGTTTGCGTCCTCAGCAGTGTGTGCTGTGCGAGTGTGCTGTAGGTATAAAGGCATGCTGCCATTTCCATATGTTAACCCAGCTCCACTGCAGACATATTAAAATCCTCACCGCGGCTCAGCTGTGCCTTTCTTCACTATTATTAGTGCGGTGTCGCAAAACTGGTGCATAGGAATAATTAGGTTCGCCACGGAAACCGCGATGACACTCTGTGAAGGAAGTTGATGCCGTCGGTGAGCAACTTAATCACCTGAGGGAGCGAGAGGTCACTGCAGGCTTCCTGTTTTCACAGTCCCTCCGTGTTGATCAGACATCTGCAGAGCTCTCAGTCCCCCAGAGAGATGAACCGTCTCTCCCCCAATCCGGTGTGAATGGCCAGAGGCCGGCCGGTGTTTAGGGCTCCTCTTTGCACTGGCTCCTCTACAGGGGAAAGAGCTGAGTGAAACCCGAAAAAAAAGATCTAAATGCTCTCATGTTGCCTCTGCGAGTGTCCAAAATTGGAGTGAGATGCGGGTGCTGGATAGCTGAACTGTCGGCAATGAATCGTGCTTTTCCACTGGGGGCTGGTTTAAGTTTAAGGAAGATGCACGACATGGCCAAAACAATGTTACATTAAATATATACTAGATGTATACTCGACTTGAATCCCAAATTCCTCATTGCAACAATGGAGACTAGTTTAAATCATGAAATGCAGCCGCTGACCAAAACATACTGTCTATGTGATGCATTTAGTTTGATGATATATGATAAGTGATATAAATGTACAAAGATCCAAGCATTTAAGCTTCTAAATGTTTAATCCAACTGCACAATATTGATAGTGCTGCAGACAAAGCACAAACACAAACCTGATCAGATTTGCTATTGGCCATTGGCCATGTTACTATACTCTAATATACATTAAAATACACTTTTCCATTTTATTAAAATATAGAGAACAAAACCATTGAATTTGCACAGCCTAAAAATAACTGTTTAAAGATAATGCTGGGATTTCTATTATTGTCAATAAATCAACAAAACTAGCCACACATTTAATACATTTCTCAACAGTTGCTTTAATAAATAACTGTTTTGCTGTTATCAATTATCAATATACAGCAGCTAATACAATAATTGTTTCCGAACAAAGAAATAAGTTGTGCTTTGGCTGGGGATTCATTTGAAAAGCGGATTAAACCCATTCAAGAGGAATAAGATCTATCAGGCTTTGCTTATACAGACGCACTAGATAGTGGACCTGTGTGGATTTTTGGAAAAGAAGAATTGAGTTTAGAAACTCGACATTTAGAGAAATAATAATCCTGCAGTTGTTTCAATCTCTTTATTAATTCATGGTGTAAAACACCAGCGGTTCTAGAGAATTCTGTTGCTGATGAGTATCCACATTGACCTTCGACCTGTCGTCTTCCCCATGCAGGTTTCAGGCTGCGACGACACAGAGATCCCGGACGAGGTGAAGCTGATCGGCTTCGCGCAGCTCAGCGTCTGCTGATGCCCTCTTCACGCCCGCAGCAGGTGGCACAGCGGGGAGACGGATCGGGGGCAGACGGGACGAAGGACACACCATCACTTCCTGCCACATCTTCCCCACCACCCAGCCTGAAGACTCAACCCCCCTTCTCCCTTTCCCCGACCCCCAAAAAGCCACCGGCCCACCGCCCCTCCCACACCTCATAAGCGCCAACCTCCCTGCTTACTGTTCACCCCCCCGACCTTTAACCTTAAACACATTCCACGGCCTGGCGGACGGAGCGGGATCACGAGACAGCCCCGGAACTTAAAGATGTACTCAGGTGGTGACAAAAGGTGATTAAGATGTAGCTTTGAATGTTTGTTTTTTTCTTCCTCTCTTTTACTTGTTTCACATCACATTACCTTTGTGTTCAGCACAACTCTTATTATTTATTCAAATGAGGAGGAATTTTTACGATGATTCTCATGCGGTTTTGTTGCCACAGAGAAAACAAATTGACTGGCATCCCACAAACACACTCATTTGTGATATTTCCCAGAGGTCTTTGACAGAATGTACAACTCAGTTAATTTATGGTGAAAAGCACATTTTCATAATAACACAATGAATGTCTAAAAAGAGAAAGAGTTGTATTGTGTGTTGTCAAGACCCGTTTCTCGCTGACAAGAAGGGAACCATGTGCTTGAGAGTGCAGGAAAGAAAACAAAGAGACCTGAATGCGACTGTGTTTAATTTGCTGCTCTTGACAGCTTTTGCTTCAAAATGTTAGAGGTGCCTTGTTCATTTTCCTGTGCCTAAGAAAGTAGACAATGAGTGAGCAGACACACAAAGAGCAGAACCTGCTGATTACCATTTCAGTTCAAGTATTTTAACTTAATGAGACAAGCACTTTTGGGCTGAGTGTGTGCCCCCCCCCCACCCAACAAGCATATTAGCCCCTGAAGACCAGTTAACTTGTGTGCTTTTGTCATCAGACTAATGAAACATAACAGAACCTGCAGTCGTGTAATCAGCTCTGGTTGACGTGTATTTAGATCACAGGTTAATTGACAAAACCACGAATAATTTCCTGCTGCACTACTAAACCCTTTCTTCCCAAAAATGTTACTGGTTACTAAAATGTACTGTATGACAATGCATCTGGGGATGAGACCAAGAGGCAACTATTGAAAGGGTGACAAGCCATCTGTTTGTCCCAATACGTCCAGTTCTAAATTATTTTAAGTATTGAAAGGGTAAATATTAACTTCTACTTAATTCTTTATTATAAAGTAATTTATTGTGTTTTCTATGTACAGTATGTGTCCCGTTTCAGCATATAACCCTTATTCCTTCTCTGTAATCAGCTGATGTCAAATTTCTGACAAGAGCCACAATAAAGAATTGCTATTATTTAAAAAAAAGTGTGTGGTAGTTTTTTACTATTTGCTCAGTGTCAAAGATACGACCTACACTAAAACTGAAATAACTGTGATTTTTAAAATATATTATTAAACTCACAACTTGAGCAGCATTTGGCAAATTTACAGAATGGACTTACTGTATAAGTCCAGTCAATTTTTTTTCACAAACGTCTTTAACAGCAAATAAAACATGGATTGAACCTCAATAAGACGAAAGAGAAGGCAACCCTCTTCCAGGATGAAACATATAAAATAGACATCTTCTCTAGAAAAATATCATGAGGAAAACCAATATTTAGAAAAAAAGTTGAATTCATGACCAACGCAGTGAACCATTGATCAATTTAAGCAAACATAGCAAACTTTCTGTATTATTGTCTGACCAATAATAGAGTATGTTTGCTGACTTCTCTCTAGTTATGGGGTCTCTCTATTCAAGTCATTTAATATATTCCTTCTGTGAGAACGTCACAAACGGCTCTCTAATGACAAACGCAATCTTCAATAAGCTTAAAGTAACCCTTTGTAAACGGATAACAGGGAACTCAAAACAGGCAACAAGGCGAAGCAGTAATGTAACTTTAATTATTCAAGTATTTGTTTTTTAATATAAAAAACATACAATATACAACAACAACCCCTTGTGGGATGGATGCTTTCACAGTTAATGTCACATTAGCTCATAATACTACAAAACTCTTGAAAAAAAAAGAAAAGAAATAGAGATTTGGCCACGAAGGCCACATTTTCTGAGAAGCACAAAACCTTTCCATGATGTCAGTAGCAGCGCTCCAGTAATCACTGATATGCCAGATACATACAGTAATACATCCAGTCTGGAATGGCCTTAGCCACAGTTAAACTCCTACTTGCACGACATGGTGCTGTATTTATTTTGATACGTGGGGGAGGCGATGCGCTGGGAGAGCTGCTGACAAACAACAATCATTAACCAAGAGCAGCAGCCGGAGTAATGAGACACACAATTACCTCCAGTACAAAAATGCCCAAAGAGGAGAACGAACCAAATGCGTCTAAAAAAAACAAAATATACATCGAGCTTTCTCGGGGAGAAAAGGCAGTGAAGTTATAAAAATATGTAAACAAAAACATCAGGCAAAATTCATAAAAAAAGAAGCGAGAGAAAAATTATCCATTGAAAAATATCAAATTGTTGGGAGACTGACAACATAAAGCAGTGTATCTTCAACTGTGTTTGTTATAAAGATGAAAAAGAGAAGAGCAGCTTGACTCTGGGCGTAGCTTTTTCCTGAACAGACACACTTGGTTTGTTGTTAGACATGATCACTATTCACTCTTCACTTTTCACTTCTAAATAGCACTTTTAAAATCTGAAACATCACAGATGTGATTTAGTTATTCAATACCCAATTCATTCCCGCACAGACATTGTCTTTTGGCTCTCTCCCCCTACAGCGAGATCAGAGTGCTGAGTCAGCAGCCGTGCAGCAGGTCGAGATCCAGTGTCGTCCTCCAGGACACTTCAGCAGGGTCATCGGCTTCAAACGCAGTCTCTGCCCATCAGGCCACGCTGCCAAAGGCTCAATGCTTATAAGCACTATTCTGCAGAAAGATGTACCTGGAATACAAAACGATTTTTCGGCAACAACCATCATATTTGATTATGCGTGAGAGTAAGCTCTTTACAGGCCTCGTGCATTCATTAACAATCTTGAGGCATGATCAGCAAAAAACGGGACATAGATGGACGTTAATGAAAACCTGTGTCATCAAACAGAGACCTGCAGCGGCCTTGAGTGCTTTTACATTACTCGGTGTGATGAGATTTGACAAGGGGGAAGAAAAGAAAAAAGGGAAGTTTTTGTTCAGTGTGCCATCGTGTCCCTCAACATCTCAGGTGCTTCTTGCTGGACATGTCGTTCCAAATGCGGTGCATCTCCTCCGGGGAGATCTGGTGCACTGTGATGACCCGTCTGTACCGGCAAAGGCTGTAGGCCATTTTCCAGTGGTTGAAACCGCTGTTCTGATACGGGTGTATTCCCAGCTTACGCAAACACAGTCCCACGTACACGTCCTCCAGGTGCAGCAGCCTCGTGTGCAACGACGTCTGGAAGATGAGCTCGGCGACGTCCGTCGAGAACACGTAGCCGGTGCCCGAGCAGAAGAGCGGGTATTTACTGTCGGGATACAAGTCCCTGGACATGTACCACTTGCTGCGCATGTCCCTGATGGGACCGCCGTTTATGACGTAGCCCGTGAAATACCTCCTCCTGGGCTTGGTGGTGGGCTTCAGGAGCTTGTAGATCAGATTGTCCATGTTGACGAAGATGTCGCTGTCGGTCTTCATGACGTACTGCGCCTTGGGGCAGAAGGTGGACACCCAGCGCATGCCCATCATGGTCTTGAGGGTGAGGTTGTGGTAAGAGTCGATGAAGTTCTCCACCACGATGTCGTGGAAGATCTGGCTCTCCTGCTCCACCATCTGGTTCAGGACGGGGTCCGTGTTCCTGCCCAGCAGAAAGATGGTGAGGATGTGGATGTCGCCGAAGGTGCTCTCGTCTCCCCAGGTCTCCCGGATGGCCTGCCGCGCGTCAAACTCCTTGTGCGTGGTGCTGATGAGGATGACCAGGAAGGGAGCGGCACTTTCGCACTTCTTCGGCTCGTTGATGACGAATTCAAAGGCGTGCGGGTTGAGGGAGCGGGTGTGGATGTTGGTGAAGGTGATGTTTTTGGGGGGTTTCGCGGCCTTGCGTACAGGCACCGACATGTGGCCGACGTAGGTGGTATTCGGGCGGGATATACTCAGGTACCACAGAGCGCTCGCCCAGCAGACCACTGTCAGAAGGTATAAACATGAGACTTTTGAAGGCATTATGCTGCATTTAGATGTGTTTCGTTCAGCTGGGTCTCATAAAGCTTTCTTTCCTTCAGCAACCTTTCGCCCAGCGAGGCAGCATGAAGCTGCTCCAGCGTGCAGTTTGACATTAATTGTCAGTACTGAATTACTTCTGAGAGAAGTGACGCTGTCTGTGTTTTAATGCGAAGCACTTTAACATCGTATGGAGATCCGATGTGTATGGAGGACATTCTTCTTCTCCATTTACATCTGAAAGAGAGAGAAAGACACGTATATTATATGTTTATATGAGATTATTATAGCTGAAAGAAATGTCTAGCATTCCACTGTTTGTAGAGGTGGAGTTAATTTAAACTGCTGTAGAGTTACATCCAATTCACACCATATATAAGATTTGTACATGAAACGTGCGGTAAAGATGCTCATAACAGTTTATTCTATGAGTTCAGAAGAAAGAATTGTGATAAAATATTTGTTAACAGACTAACAAATGTAAAACATCCTGGGGGATGGAAGACATACATACATCAATCAGTCCGCCCCTACAGGTTTAATAAGCGATGGAATGGTGACATTAGAATGTGCCAGAGGACAAACGTGGGCTTTTACAGCCAGACTTTGTTTAAGATTTTGGCTACTTCATCCTTGTGGATGGCCTGTCGTCTAGAACCAGGCCTGCGACTCAAATGCAGCATTCTGCATGGCAGCGTCACATGTTGTCAAAAAGGGAAAATGATGCAATGACTGAATTCTCTCTTGATCAATGATGAATGAATTCTCTCTTCTCCCTGTTAGTTCAGTACTGCGCCGCTATTTTCACGTTAGCACGTGCACAACGTATCCTGGCCTTTAAGGCTCTCAGTGACCTTCATTCAGGGGAAGACAACAGCCGTATTGTAATGAAACCCTACACTTTCATTTTCAAAGCTGGAGAGTAAAAAAAATCAGAGGTGAGCAGGCAAATGTATCCGTAATGACATGATTTGAAATCCATTTAAACATAGACAGCTATTACTGGCGGTCTATAGCCGCATAGTAAAGCAAGGCACTGTGTGGACTGAAAGACATACCACTAACAATACAGTACACCTTTGAGAACAATAACAACAACGTCTTCTTTGTGGAAAGGGAATCTCTGACATGAGACTTTATCTATTCCGTGTCAGTTTGAGAATTAGTCTTACAAATGTTATTACTGCTAGTTTATGTTCCACTTCCTTCACGCGCTTTCAACAAAACGATCGTGTTGATTATGTTGAGGAAGTATTTGCACACAATGTCTGACTTCTCCTCCCATCCTGAAAGTACAGTTATCTCTTATAGGCTTCATAGGAGCAAACAATCTTTCCCTTTGCAAACAGTTTTACTCAGATGACAGAAATACAGAGACGGCAATATGTTCTATAACCAGAAGACGGAACGGTGGAGTGAAGGCAGAGTTTAAACGGCAACGGCTGTTTGCTTCAAAATGAATAACAAGGTGAAAACAGAGACCGACACAAAAAATAGGCACACACGCGTACATTTACACGTGTTACACGATAACCGAGGCAAGCTGATCGCAAGCAGTCCCGACGTCCCAGACTGTCACTTTGAAATGTCACATTTCAGAATGAAGCGAAAATATTTACGAGACAGAACTTGTGACAGAACATCTCAGAAGACCTCCACGTCCGTCAGACGGACACGGCAACCGGATCCAAAAGACTGATGGGAGGATACGGAGCATTTGACTACGCCTAACGTGTCATTAATCCGTGCAGACGTGGGCTTGAGATGCTCTGTGTCAAAGCAGACCTGAAGTGAGAGACATTGCATCACGTCTCGTCTCTTCAACAAGCGGCTGGAGGGACACCTCGGTGCAGTCGTGTATTTGATAGATCGCTAATCTGTGCCATCGCGGTGGTCGGGATGACTGTGCATTACTCAGCGCATCACTTTATATTCAAAGTCAGATATTTCTGTGTGTGTGTGTGTGTGTGTTTTATGTCCGTCAGAGAGATTCAAACTGGCCCATTTGTTATCGAGCCGAGTGGCAGCATGTATCCGCTGCTGAAATATTAAGTGTAAGTGGGAGATGGAAGGAAAATGTGCTCTTTAGGCCCCATTTTGTTTAACAGCTCATTGCGTAAATGCAAATAAAGTTGTGTTTAATGGCACCACATTGTCTTGCATCGCATTGCATTGTGTCGTTAGATAATCTGCAATAAACACACACAAAACATCGCTTGTGTTTATCTACTAATACATCAACCAATCACTGGGCACACGGTGACACGGTGAGTAACTTCATTTCTTTCCTCTTTTTTTATAAACCACAGCTCCATTCCGTAGTTAATTGCAGAGCCCTCTGGAGTTCAGTGTCTCGGTTCTCCGTAGCAGGCCGATGGGGACTGCAGCACGGGGCGCAGCCTGCAGGCCGGCTGTTATCCAGACCAGCCGCCATAAACACTGCTGTCACGCCCACAGCCAGTCATAAAATCACCCAACACGGGCACAGCCGTTGAGCACTGGACATTCGGGACATGAGATGTACTACAGGGACACTTCAGGGAGGGGAAAGAATTAGCTATACTTCCAATGGTGACGCTATTTATGATGATTTATTATTTAGCAAAAGGTGAAGCCATTCATGGAGACATTCTACAAGCCTTCGGGTGGAATGTTTGGCCGACTGGTTTCTTTACTTCGTCCTCTGCACACAACAAACATGTTTAGATAAACATTTGAATAATGCTGCCTATGCTTTTATTTCAACAGCACACTGATGACACACACATTAATAGATGACACATGATTTGCATTTTAATATCTAACTCACAGTACATCTACACCATGCAGTTTTAAGACAAACGCCTCCTTTGCTCTACAATAAGTGTTCAGTGATATTTTGGATGACAGTTTGAAGGTGGGATTTCTCCTCTTCTCAGACCCAAATAACTGAATGATACATGAACACTGATGACGCCGTTGCCTAATAGCAGAAATCTGAGAAATATTATATGAAAATTGTGGCACAGCAAGTGATAAAGTCTCAAATATTCCTGCCAGGCATTACAATGAAAGCTGCGTTCATAAGCTTATAGATGAAATTCATCGCGATTGAAGAAAGGACATTGACAGTACACACATTTTAAAATCCATTACAAGGTTTTTCTCACATTTATTTCATCCTCTCCAAAGTTAATGAGCCATCTTTCTGGTGCTCTTTTAGAAAAAGAAACACAATTGAAATACGAGCCAAGGTGAAAAGACACACTTTCAACTCAGCTATAGCCTGTAAAGCTTTATATCTCGTCCTGTCTATAAATGCGTCATGCACTAAAGACCCTCGTGCACTGTAGATCTGTCGTCCTGCAAACAGAGACCATCTGAGAAAACACACACTTCTTCTAAACACAGAGGCATCGCTTGAGCGACAGCCCCAAAAGACAAATCATCATTTACTTTTTCCTGTTCTGTCTCTCATCATTCTTTGCCGTGAGTCTCCCCATGTTGCTATGGTAACCCTGCAGCATTAAGCAACGTGAACTTGTGAAATGAGAATGATCATTTTTTTCCAATGTCCGTTTTCATTTTCCAATGCTATTCATTGTTAGTCGACGTATTCACCTGATACATAACTGGCCCCCGTCTTGTTTGTCCTGAATAGTAGACAAATTATACTATTCCTTTTATGATGTCTTATTTGGTTATTAAAGATTTCCAGCATTAGACTTGTAAAAATAATAATCTTGGTCCAAGATGGCTGTTCCATAAAATAGACTCCTGTGTTGAAAAATCCTAAATCTATAAATATGAAAACATTTTGCTTTCAAAAGTTGAACTGCTGGACAGAAGAAGGCAATGTTTGTGCACTTGTGTTCCAGGTTTCCACATCACACCTCTGTGAGATACATGTTCTATTTTTTTAATCTATAATCTAATCTTTATCTTTGTGCAGAGGGAGATGGGATTTGATTTGAACGAGACAAACAAAAAGACTGATTCTGTTTGCCACAGACTCTCATCTTTTCTATTGCATTCTAACAGTGTTATTTACATATTTTATGCTTAGGGCTGAATCGTGCCGAAAGATCAGATCATATCGCATACAGCTGAACTGGAGGAAAATCTGTACCGGCAAATAAATGAGTGAAGCTACATTAGGCTGATGACATTTTCTTTAAAGAAAAAACTGGCAACACCATTCCTTTCCTCCATTGAGAGATCGGAAGTGAATCAATATCAGATAAATGTTGAGGCTGAGTATGAATATGTCTCTAAAACTGGGCTGTTAGCTCTGCATACATAACCACAATAAAAATGTAGTCTAAAATGTACGCGTTATAATGGGTCATTTCCCATTCATATGTAAATAAGGAAATGTAACAGAGCAGTTCGACACATCTTTTGATCAAATTGCTGTGCAAGTATAATCATCACATAAACTCAATCATGCTTTAAATAAAAAGGGATAGCCGGTTAACATTCATCAAGCGTAAATAGGGCCAGTACATTGAATGAATTTGGTTCAGTTTGGACACATTTTCTCAATCAAATCGATGAAGACGTGTGTCCAAACTTATGACTGGTAGCGTATATTTGATCGTTCTTCGGCGCGATATTGTCGGGCGACATCCACGGTGCCGGATGTCCACAATCGGATTTGAATGTACTTGTTAGCATGCCAGAACATCGACAAGTGCACTATCAGAGACACTGGTCTGGTAAAACTGTTTAAACTCATTTGAAGCTTCGGCACAGCAGCATCTGTAAATTAATCATTAGCCTAAAAAAAATAAGATTAACTTCTATGTCTGACTGGAAGATTACAAACTGCTGTGCCAGAAAAGTAACAACGGCGAGAGGGGGACCAGGGGATGCAGAGCCCAGTCAAACGTCCCCGGTGGGAATTGCTTGCACCTTTCTTCCGTCACTTATTAGCAATGAGGCAGAGCGAGTTGTCAAAGCAGAGCTGCAGACAAACAGGAAGCTGGCGTCCTGCCGGGATGATGCCAGCATCCGTTCCCCCTGAACAGATGCTGCCCAATGATCACTGTTCTTTCTTCCCTCCACCAAAGGCATGCTGCCTTGCATGATGCGCACAGAATAAAAATGACTCTTTTCTGTCCTCAACTGCTTCCCTGATTTGAGACGAGCAACTTAAAATACTTTGTGTAAACAAGAAGGACTTTCTAGAGTGCAAATTTGAACATTTTCTGTATACAGCGATGGCTCAGTTTGCCGTATACCAGCGATGTGTCACC